TTAATCTTTTATATAGGTCCAGGAAAATGTAACTTCTCTGCTTGTAAAAATGGAATTAATTTGTATATCAGGAACTATAAAGCTACTTTTCAGAGTAGTTTTCAATAGAAATATTCATAATGCAGCATCTTTCGGGGGGAAAACACACACACTTAAGCATTTTACACAAAATGTTTAACCTTTTACTCCAGGAATCAAATTTATAATAATTCTATACTTCTACTTTTTTTTTAAATCTAAAGAATCAAAAACAGGGGAAATAACTCTTAGATAAAGCCACACAATTCACAGTAACCAAACTTACCCATCTTATATAAAGCCATTTAGATTTAAATATATGTATTTTTAATATATACTTATATTTTATGCTCACATTTAATATAATAGAGCTATGATTGATTTAAAGACTCTAGTCTTCTCTGAAGACATTTTAAAGGTTTTCATACACAGAATATGATTGCATAATACATTCAGCTGAAGGTTAGGCAAAGAGCATTCTTTTTAAATACACAGGTAGCATCCTGGCTGCCTGGAACCCTCCCACCAATCCAGTCCTGCAAACACTTAAGTGTGACAGCAATTGTTTTGTCGGGTTTCTTTTAAATACATTCCAAATCTGCCAAAATCCCCCAATTTGATCACTTCTGCACCAGAATTTTATTTTAGATTCATTTTAATCTGTCTTTAAAAAAAATTGCATCTTGGATTTCAAATATGAGTAGTAGTCCTGAGTATTTTTTTAAAAAAAAACAAAAACAAAATAGGCTCTACACTTTGTACCACCATTTGTATCTTACCTATGCAGGAAGCTAAATACGAGGTTGCATGAAATGCAACCCAAAAAGTGGTCCTCTACTGGGTACCAACTTTGGAATATGCTCCTGGAGCTGAACATTAAATAAAATTGATAATAGAAAATGTTGACCATCCGTTAGGTGAGAACGTTCTACTCTAGGGGGGCAAGAAGCTATACTTACTTCTGGCTCAGAGTTGAACTGTGGGGTCCTTGATGCTCTCTGAGCTTGATATACCTCCTTAATCTGTTTTTGAGCTGCTATTAAAAAAAAATGGGATCAGAACTGACTGCTTCTAATTGGACTTTTTGCAGTCAGCTTGCAATTCTTTTGTTTCACAGAAGTAATTTTAATGGAATGGAGAGGTGGGTGTGTAAACCCCAGCTTTTTTTGGACTCTACTGTGAGCAAAAGCCAGCCAGGTATTGTGCACTTAGGCATTCTTGACCTCCTCTGAAATCCTTGCACAGTTTCACACAAATTAGCTGAGGAATCCTTTCCAAATAGAGACCGTTACTAATCTACCCGTGTTTCCCCGAAAGTAAGTCCTACCCTGAAAATAAGTCCTAGCTTGATTTTTGGGAGTGGGCCTAATATAAACCCCGCCCCCCAAATAAGCCCTAGTTTTGGGGCGAGGCGCACACCTGAAAATCAAGCTAGGGCAGGGGTGGAGCTTACCATTGCAGCCAGGCCTCCCGTGGATTGACACTTGCCTCGCTGGCCCACATCTTCTGCGGCTAAAGGAACAGCTTCATTCTGCAGCTGAGAATGGAGCTCGGCCCTGCATTTCGCAGTTAGAGGCCTTTCCGGAAGGCCTGTGCAGCCGAGAACCGAGCTATGGATTCAATCCGTAGATCGGTTCTCAGCTGCAGAGGCCTTCTGGAAAAGCCTCTGACTGCAAAATGCAGGCCGGAGCTCCATTCTCAGCTGCGGAATGAAGCTGCTCCTTTGGCTGCAGAAGAAGTGGGCCGGCTGGGTGGGGCTGTTGGTGTTGCTGCAGCTGCGAGGTGAGTGGAAAAGATTCCCCCCCCCCTTGCAAAAAATAAGCCCTGGTGCCTCTTTTGGAGGGAAAAAAAAATAAGACCCGGTCTTATTTTGGGAAAAACATGGTGTATAGCTCCTGCAAATCTCTAGGGGGGACATGAAACAAACAACAAACTAAGATTGGAAGCAGGTAGTCCTCCCTTACTGATGGCCTCATTTAACAACCATTCAAAGTTACAACAGTGTTAAAAAATTGATGTGTGACCAATCCTTGTGTTTACAACATGATCACCATTCAGGTGTTTTGCAAACAGTGTGCCTTTACAACTGTTGCAGTGTCCTGCAGTCACATGTTCGCCATTTGCATGCTTCACAACTGGCTTGCAACAGTCCAGTAGAGAAGGGGTAGTAAAATCATAAGTTGTGGTCACATGATGTCTCGCTTAATGACTGTAGCACCTAGCAAAGGAGTCCCAATGGTGGCTGTTAAGCGAGGAATACCTATATTTTGGAATGGCCAAAATCTCAGGAAATCAGCTCATCTCACAAGATTTTCGTTTCCTTGTCCGAAATCTCATAAAATTTTAGATGGGATTATCACTATTGCACAATATTTTTTACATTTTTAAAGCTTTTGGTGCGGGCAGTGATAATAATGACAACAACAAACTGGTTCACATAGAAAATCAATAATCTTAACAGTTTGTGTTGAAGGGGGAGGTGTTTATAGGACTGTTCGACACATATTTAAATACCTCAGTTAAGATAATCTTTATGTGGCATATTCATCTTGGTTCCAATTATCTACCAATATGACTATACAAACTGAATGTATGTCATCTAAGCTTAAATGGGCACAATTTCTGATTCCCTTGCAACTGACCAGTAAGTTGCTCTAGTAAACACTCAGATCCAGAAATATGAAAAAAAAATACTAACATCTGAAGTTATCAGAATAATACTTACGATAATCTGCAAAGGAACAACTGTGCTTATTTTGTTTTCAGTTCTCAAAATGATAACATAATATTTTTACGATTTCATGCCACTTCAAGTGTTACTTTGATATATTTCCAAATGTGAAACTGAGATGAGTTGGAATCAAAACATAAGAAAGCTTTTTTACAGAAGGCATCTGATTGCTATCTATGCTACATGTCATAAACAATAGCATGATTCAATAGTTGTCTCCACTGAGCAATAAACAAATGGAAAAAAAGTCACATGATAGAAAACTGGATCCACAATACTTGACCCTAGTGTTTTTCAATAATCCAAAGGGGAGGGGGAAAAAAACCCTAACTATTTTTAAAGCAGAGCATTCTCATGGGGCACAGAACTGAATCTGAATATTAGTTTATACTTTTAAAAGTCAGCAATGTATACTTAATGGGTCATGTTAAGCATTGCCATATGTATTCTACAAACATCTCCAGATACTGTACTTAAGGTCACGAATCCAATCAAAATGAACGCCTTACAATAAATGACTCTGAAAATAACGTAAAAAATGTATCAGGGAACCATTTTAGTTTTCGTAGTCTTTCTTCCTTTGGTGAAGCATATTCAGGCATGTCTAAGTTCAAAATTGGCCAATGAATTAACCCCATCCTGAACTTCCAAGTGCAATCGTAATACAACCCACCCATCCCCTTCCAGAATATAGCTTCATGGATGTATCACTGGGCATGGCCTTTACAGGAAAAGCAAGATTTCCCTATTTTGTCAATTGTCAAAAGACAATTCTGCAAATTCACTCAGTGGAAATGCATCTACGAAGCAACGTCTAACACAGCAGTGAGTAGGGAGGCTGTTACATCTGCAAGCACATGTTACATCAGGGGTCTTGAAACTTGGCCCTTTTAATGACTTGTGGACTTCAACTCCCAGAATTCCTCAGCCAGGCATGCCTGGCTGAGGAATTCTGGGAGTTGAAGTCCACAAGTCATAAAAGGGCCAAGTTTCAAGACCCTTGTGTTACATCAATGGTCTCCAACCTTTTTGGCACCAGGGACCAGTTTCGTGGAGGACAATCTTTCCACAGACCGGGACTGGGGGAGGAGCTTGCAACCTAGATCCCGCACATGCGCAGTTTAGAGAAGGGTTTTGCGCTCCTATGAGAATCTAATGCCTGATGATCTGAGGTGGAGCTGAGGCCATGATGCCATAGTACTGAGGAGCAGCTGCAAATACAGATGAAGCTTTGCACACTCATCTCCAGCTGTACAGCCCAGTTCCTAACAGGCCGCGGACTGGTACCAGTCCATGGCCCGGGGCTTGAGGACCCCTGCCTTTCACGAAGCAATGCTGTGAGACAGGACTACGTGACGGCTTAATGCAAATTGCCACAAGACAAAAGAGCAGGTGAAAAGCATGCAGTATACGAAGAGTATCTTGTAGAGAAATCTTAGCTTACAAGGGTGAGACTTAGCCGCTCCATCCTGAAAAAAAAAAAAAGGTAGTTCCCAGTAAGGGAGGGGGGGAAATGGAGCAACCCTGAAAACTACCCTAAGTATTCAAGCAAGCTTTTTGGATATATGAGAAGGCAGGATAAGTAATTACAAATACCTAACCAACATGTATTTTTAGCCCCTGTATGCTGCTTTCATTTCAAAAGCTTCAGGGGATATAAATCCCCTTAAATGGAGAACAGCACAACCAGGGCCAAAAGGCTTCCCGAAGTCAAGCTCAACAATTACACAGTGACACAGCTACGGTGACCTGCGATGTGTATCGGAGGAAATCAGTTTCAAATGTGGCATTTGAAACCTTTGTGCCTTTGTGCCCAGTGGGGTGGGGTGGGGGGGAGCGAGGGAGGTTAAGAAAAAAAAAACCAAACCCCTTCCCCAGCTTATGAGACTGAAATCCCTTTGGCGTCTCCTACACGTTTGCAAAACTCAGCCCTGGGATTCTCTGGAGACAAAGCAGCATTTACAGGGGGCGGGGGAACGTTGTGTTTCACATTGAGAACGTGTGGACCTCTGTACCCAGTCCACAGCTGCACAAAAAGAGTAGCTCCGTCATGTGTAGCCTTAGCATGCGGCGGGAGATTCGAGGACCACATTTATCTGGAAAAAGCCGAAAAAGAAGGAAGCGCCTTCTCATTTTTGCCCAAGAATCCAGACCAATGGAAGCAAAAGGCAACAAACAGCTGGGTGGTTGTGTTTTTTTTGAACCTCTGATCTCCGATGTTGCTGCATGCATTTCCATGCTGCCTCCTGTGTTAGGCCCTGCTGCTGCTGGAACAGGGGGTGCTTTGTGTGCTGCCGATGCTGTGGCCTGCACTGCTGTTTTCAGAAGGTGGTGGCGAAGTGGGAACCGGCTGTCTTCCTTCTGGTTCTCCTGGAGGAGAGGAAGAAATAAACAAAAAGCAAGCTCAGAGTTACTTCTACTGTCCTCACATTCTCCTGGCCACCCCGGGGAGGGGAGGGGAGGGAAGGAGGGTCTTCAATTCTCTATTATTTAAGATGAGATAAGATGAGATGAAGTGGGATGGGATGAGATAAGATGTAAGATAAGATAAAATGATAAGCTAAGCTAAGCTAAATAGATAAAAGAACCTTTATTGTCACTTTTTTTCTGTGAACAGACTGGCACAGATTAAAAATGAAATTCTGATGCCCGCTCTCAAAAGAATATACAAACATACATACATACATATACATACATGCACACATTTTATATATACATACATGTACATGTACACGTACATATACATATATAAATTTAGATTTTGCTGACAAAGAAATGGTTTACAGAAATGGTTTACCGCAGTAGCGACTTGAGCCTGCAAAACACTCCTAAATTGGGGCTGCGGGTGCATCATAAAAAAAACACTTAACACATATCTCCTCTCCGGGTCTCTCCCCTCCCGGATACAGCTGACAAAGTGAGAAAGAGCCTGTTGCCTAGAGGTCAACACAGCTGCCTAACGTGCAAGCAGCCCAGGTTCGAATCTCAGAAGGGTATGGCTGGCTGATGAGAGCTAAGTAGCTCGAAATAGCTATACCAGTCTCCCTTTAACTCTTTGTTAGCAATCCAAATTTAACATAAAAATGATTGTCACAGTAGCAACTCCTGCCTGGGGATAGCCCTAGATTGGGGCTGATACAGGCAAAAGATTTCTTCTATATATATCACAGTCCATTCAGCAAAGTATCTTTCCCCTTGTTCCAAGCAGCCAAACATTGACAGACTAAATTTCCCCCTTTTTATTTCCCCAGGGATTCTCTAATGAATGTAATTGACTGCCCCAAAGTGGGCAGTCCCCCCATTCAGTAGGATGCGCAATCTAAAAGGCATTCAATTCTGTAGGTCCTGGGGCCAAGTGTAGCCTTTTGCCCCCTTCTCTGCTTTCTTCCTTCCTGCACTGTTTAAAGAGAAAAACCCACCAATAACTCAGTTATTATTTGGGGAAATATTTGGGGGGGGGCGGGCGGGTGATATGTTTTTGGCAGCAGGAAGTAGAATTAAGGTTGATTTTTTTTTTCCAGTGTAACCAAAACAAACTTTGGACTTCATCCTGGGTTCAGTTCAAGCATCTCATTTGTGAGGTTACTTTTAGATATTCTTTCTTTGATCCCATAACTTTAGGTGCACAAAGCCTTTCCTGACATTGTGAACGCTATCTCTAGGTGAGAGAAATCCTTTTTTTTTCCTGAGATTTTTTTTCCTTTTTTTTGTAAAGCTTTCTTAGCTAAAACCAAAATAAAATCTGAGAACGTTTAGGAGAGAAAAGCCACAATTTCTATATATTCAAGTCCGCTGCTTTCATTCCCTTAATGGGGCCCCTCAAGCTTTCTGCCAGGAAAACGATCTGCAAAATGTAGAGCTGGCCGCATCCCCTGCTGCTGGGTCCTGTTACAGCGATGTTGTCACCCAGGCTACAAACCACCCTATTACACAGCGTTGTGCACCAACCTCAGCTTATCAGCTGCAATCTGTATATATTTTGCTCCAACTCAGTGTCCGTGAATACCTTTTCGTCTTTGGGGAAAGCGGCACATACAGCTGTCAATATCTGGATGGCAAAAAAAAAAACAACCGTCTCATGTTTTTCTCCCTCCCCTATTTCCTCTTTCTAGAAAACTTTCCACAGATGCATTTTTTCCCCTCTTTCAACTATGGGGTTATGCCCCCTTGTCTCAGTGGCACAGACCTCTGCTGGAATTTCAATCTTTCCTCCAGCATCTCCCCCTTTTGTAGAAAATAAATCCTTGATTTTTCTGTTCAACAGCCCTGTATTTTCCAATTGCTCACCTGTCACTCTTAAAATACATGTAGTACCTTAAAGCCTAAGAATAAGTTTGACTAGCCACTACTGCATGGAAAACTGAGTGCTGCAGTTGATTGGGTGACAGCCCAAATTTCACCCCTTCCTGATTCCATCGTACAACGTGCCATCGGGAGTTTGGGAGTCTTTAAAAATGTGAAGAAAGCAGATGAAATACGGGTAGTCCTCAACTTACAACAGTTCGTTTAGTGACCGTTCAAAGTTACAACTGCACTGAAAAAAGTAACTTTCAACCGTTTTTCACACTTAACGATCATTGCAGCATCCCCCAAAAGGCTTGGCAACTGACTCATATTTATGACAGTTGCCAGTGTCCCAGGGTCACGTGATCCCCTTTTGCGACTTTCTTACACACAAAGTCAATAGGGAAAGCCAGATTCACTTAACAACCACGTTGCAAACTTAGCAACTGCAGTGATTGACTTAACAGCTGTGGCAAGAAATGACGTAAAGTGGGACAAAATTCACTTAACAAATGTTTCAGCTTAGCAACAGAAATTTTGGGCTCAACTGTGGTCGTAAGTCGAGGACTACCTGTATGTCAGTTTATCAGTTGTGACAAACAATGAACCTTCAGACTTATTCAAGAGGATTTTTGCAAGCAACTATTCCTAGGAGTAAAGAGCAACAAAGATGATTAGGGGACTGGAGGCTATAAAGCATATAAGGAACGGTTGCTGGAATTGGGTATGTCTAGTTTAACGAAGAGAAGGACGAGGGGGGACATGATAGCAGCCTTCCAATATCTCAGGGGCTGCCACAAAGAAGAGGGAGTCAAGCTATTCTCCAAGGCGCCTGAAGGCAGGACAAGAAGCAATGGGTGGAAACTAAGCAAGGAGAGAAGCAACCTAGAATAAGGAGAAACTTCCTGACAGTTAGAACAATTAACCAGCGGAACAACCTGCCTCCAGAAGCGGTGAATGCTCCAACACTGGAAGTTTTTAAGAAGAGACTGGACAGCCATTTGTCAGGGGGTTGGACTAGATGACCTCCAAGGTCCCTTCCAACTTTATTTTTTAAAAAAAGGGCCCTGCAGCAAATTTCTGAGGACAAAAGCTGGCTGGAAAGGAAGATTGTTCCTGAAATGGGTTCTTATCACCGTTTCTCCAAACACTATTTAAAGTGGATGTTTTTGTAAATATCTCTATCCCAGCTATAGGCCATAAACAATCTTTAAGCCGCTTATAGTCATATGTATCTGAGTGCAACAGCATGTTCTTTATTATTCACACTGAAGAAGCCTGCCAATATGGCTTCTTTTCAAGGCGGTCTGTTTGCTTTTTCTACCCTCAGTACACTAAGTTCGCATACGCCAAACTCTTCCTTTTCTTCAGTCAGAACTTATTAAATGGAGTTTCTATTAAATCTAAGTTTCCCCCCAAATTATTGGGGGAGGGGAGGGAGAGCAGGTTGCATAATCTTGTTATTTGAAAGGAGAGATCTTCCGAGGTGCTTAACTAGGAAAAGTTACATACGTTTTGAAAACCGGCTTTCCTTTGAGTTCAGACTAATAAATAATAGACCGTTCTTGGCCCTTTGCATTCGCTGGATGGACTCGTCACGTACAAGGAAGGGGGTGGGAAGAGGGGATCTGCAAAGGAACGTGTTTTCTGTACCTATTTGTTGAGAGCTCCTTGGACATGAGTAAAAGTTTGACATCTGAAAGAGTTACTTGTATTCAAACTATGAATTGGAAAACTAATAAAAGTTCAGCCAGGTCTACTAGGTCACCGTTGAACAAATTGTTCAAACAAGGCTTATATGCTGTTCCCCCTCACCAACCAGGCAAGGAGGACTTAGGGAATTATGCCAAATTGCCTAATCCCTTCCTAGTATAAAGTTGCAGCCGGATAGGCCATAAACACATTCAAATGATCAAATATTATCTCAGGAAACCAGCTATGTAAGGTTCAAATACACACACAGCCCCATTCCCTTCTACTTGCTTCTCACTTAAATGCACAAATCCTGAGTGAACAAGTCACAATTAATCAGAATTTTCCATCAGGAAACCATGCTTAATAACTTCAGGTAAGACAGAATGTGGCATTATAGTTTACAATTGCTTTCCATATCCTGGTTTGTTTGGAAGCTACTAGTTGTAGTTTCTGATTTAGACAGAATTTGAAGTTGCTACTAGAGGCAACTTTCTCGCTTAGTGTGTAAGGTAGAATTAAGTAGGAGACAAGATCTGATTGCTCAAAACCGGACACTGCTTTTTCCAAACTAACTCTGATTCATAAATGATAGGAAACGGGATTCAGAGGTATCAAAGCCAAGTCGTATACTTTAGAAATAAATGAGGCATTTAAACAGGAAAGTAAGGTGATGTTTTCTTCCACACTTCTTTAATCTATGGCAGATGTTCCAAAACTGTGTTAAACGGACCTTCTCCTTCTCTTATTGTAATGCAAACACAACAGAACAAATTTCTTGACTGGAGTGCCTCTTTTTCTGTTGTACCAAAGCTCTCCTTCTTATGCTTTTAGGAAATATAGACTTTCCTTGCTAATCATTTCTTCCACAGAGGACCAGCAATTTCCCTCCACCCCACCCCCAATACACTATCCCCCATTTTTTTCTTCCTGCAGCGGGAACAAAGTGGATTACGATGGTACAGCAATGTAGATACAAAAGACAAAATGTGATTTGGAACATGTTTGGGCATGCGTGTTGCATCTGTGGAAAATGCCTTAAAGCAAAACATCTCTTTGTAAAATCTCACTTCATCTGCAAAAGATAAGCCACAAGAGCTCAGGAAAAGACCATGTTTAAAAATACTCCCATTTTGCTCTTTGAAGCCGTATCTCTGCAGAGCCCTAATGTGTACATTATGGGAGAGCACCAAAACGGCATCAAATTAAAATTAAAATCCCAATGAGCGATACAAGAGAGAAACATTGGAACGTGCTCTCTTTTTATCCAATGAATTGCATAAACGTTAGCATCAATACAGTCACTGATGGTGTGCCTCAGTTTTCAGTCATAAAGCAACATTCCTTTATGGTGATCTGAAGAAATTTCAACTCCTAAGAAACTTGTCCACTCATTTCTATACATTTGCATACAATTCTTTGTATTGGCTCGTATTCAACTTTATGTGTCAAAGCCAAAATTTTGTACTTCCATATATAATCACGGATAAAATCTTAGTATAGCAATCCCTTGGTTAATCACATCTAACCTTGCTTTTAAAACCAAGATCATGGCATCTGGCCCTCTCAATTCCTGGCAAATAGATGGGGAAGAAATGGAGGTAGTGACAGATTTTACCTTCCTGGGCTCCAAGATCACCACAGATGGGGACTGTAGCCAAGAAATTAAAAGACGCTTGCTCCTGGGGAGGAAAGCTATGGCAAATCTAGACAGCATACTAAAAAGCAGAGACATCACCCTGCCAACAAAAATACGTATAGTCAAGGCCATGGTTTTCCCAGTTGCAATGTATGGCTGTGAAAGTTGGACCATAAGAAAGGCTGAGCGCCAAGGAATTGAGGCCTTTGAACTATGGTGCTGGAGAAGACTCCTGCGAGTCCCCTGGACTGCAAGGCGATCAAACCGGTCAGTCCTAGAGGAGATCAACCCTGACTGCTCCTTAGAAGGCCAGATCCTGAAGTTGAAACTCAAGTACTTTGGTCACCTAATGAGAAGGAAGGACTCACTGGAGAAGAACCTAATGCTGGGAAAAATGGAGAGCAATAGAAGAAGGGGACGACAGAGAATGAGGTGGCTGGATGGAGTCACTGAAGCAGTAGGCGTGAGCTTAAATGGACTCCAGAAGATGGTAGAGGACAGGAAGGCCTGGAGGAACGTTGTCCATGCGGTCGCGATGGGTTGGACATGACTTCGCAACTAACAACAACAAGAAACCTTGCTTTTGTTTTCAAGAAAGCCAAAATCATCTTCTGAACACATACTGTACTCTTTCTTCTTTTTAGTGGATCGGTAATGTTTGTTTAGTTACTTGGGTTTCCTCTACTGACTTATACCCAACCACAACATGGATCTATCCTTATATTCTTCGCAATGCAACAAAGAAGCTATCTATGATTCTTTGAAAGAAAGTCTCAGCAAACTCAGCGAACCTTATTCCCAGATAAATGGCTACAGAATGGTTGCCTCAGTCTCTATTAAGACACGTTGATATGAATGCCAATTAACATATTTAAATGCTTTTCCATTTTCCATTCAGATGCAAGATACAAAATTCCACTCCTACTTACGACAGCTACATTTTTCTCTATCCTTTCAATGCAGTTCACGTATCTTAAAATGGCCAAGTTTGAAAAAACAACGCTATGGTCATTTAATGTGTTATATAAATATTCTCCACTCTTGAAACTCTTTTGTTCAAAAAGAAATCCTTTTAATGGCAAACTATTAATCAGGAGAGGCATCTATACCAATCCTTCAGGGGCTTTTATTTTTCAAGGCAAAGCAATGGCTAGTGAACAGGGTCAGTGTTCCAGATACACTGTGCAATTTGTGGGGAAAAATCCGACTCACCTGTGCGGGAATAGATAAACCATAAAGCTCCTGTTAGCAGCGCGCCTATCATAAAAGCTGCAAAGGCAATTCCCACAACTGTCAACGTGTCCAGGCCGTGTACAACAGCTGTGAAATTCAGAGATTAGAGAGAGAGAGAGAAAAAAAAATCAACACATTTGTAAAGCAGAATCAAAGATATTTTACTTGCATTCAGAAAGAGAAAGAAACAAAAAGTGATGGCAGTTTTCTTCCCCTAAATTGCATTTTGTAATCAGGACTCGACACCTTTTTGGGCTCACCAAATGTATCTCAAGCTCTTTTGGCCCCAAATAGGCTTGTTCGGTCCCTCCCTCTCTTTCTGGCCCAGATCAGCTTTGCTTTCTGCTATCTATCAGAGATGGTGAGAAGGAGACAGAACAGTACAGGTAATCCTCAACTTACAACCTCTCGTTGAGTGACTGTCTGAAGTTTCAACAGCATTGAAAAAAGTGAACTGTGATTGTTTTTCACACTTACGACTGTTGCAGCATCCCCCTAGTCACACGATCAAAATTGCTTAACAACTGGCTCATACTTGTGATGACTGCAGTGTCCCAGGGTCATGTGATCACCTTTTGAACCTTCTGACAAGCAAAGTCAATGGAGAAGTCAGAGTCACTTAACAGCTGTATTATTAACTTAACAACTGCAGGGATTCACTTAACGGCCGTGGCAGAAAAGGTCATAAAATGGGGCAAAACTCACTCAACAACTGTCTCGCTTATCAACAGAAATTTTGGGTTCAGCTGTGGTTGTAATTTGAGAACTTCCTGTAGATGTTCAATTCCTTCATGCTAATTCCGGCAAACTGCTGTCCATACAACAAGAGAAAACTGGGTTGAAAAAAGCTGGTATGGAGATTTGGGATCATGTCAATCCAAAGGAAAGTCTAAACCACACTATTTAATACATCTTTGGTTAGCATGGCCTGTTGTTTCACAAGAACAAAGCAGAGAAGCAGGATACAATTTTAAAATGTAGCTCTGTTATGAACAACTTCAGCCTGGTAGGTTTCCCGCTGGTTTCTGCTTGTTTTTAAGTTGGAAAGACCAAAATAACTTACTTCTCTAATTTTAGCCTCTTTAGTTTTCAAGTCACGCTTGTGCCTTTGAGGTAAGGCAGGATAAACTCATTCAAATAATTAAATAAGACCTCTGCCAATTCTGTTCCGTCTCCCCAATGTCTTCAGCATATTAAGTGGGGAGCGGAAAAGCTGTCAACCAAGCGGGAGTGCCAGCTTGAAAGTCAGCAAATACATAAATAGAAACAATTGTTTTTCACGTTTGGCAGCAGTTTTAATTACGGAAATCGGTTCCAGGCTGTAATATGGAGCCCGCTCTGGGAGAGGCAGGATAATCTGCGTGAGTGTACATCTGGTTCCTGAAAGCCTGGCTTTGAACATGTGCTGAGCAACAGTAGTCACTTCCAGCCCTTCCGAACTTTCACTCTTTTTACGCAAGGATAGCTACAGGGTGGAGCCTCATTAATTCTTACTGAGGTTCGGCTCCAGCTTATCAAGACAATAAGGACACTTTCTTTTGCCACTAATTTCACTGGAAGGCCATCCTAAGTCGGAGTGCTCTCTCTCTCTCTCTCTCTCTCTCTCTCTCTCTCTCTCTCTCTCTCTCTCTAAATGTGCAGGATTCTTTTTTAAATTCCCAGGATTCTTTTTTTTTTTTGCCATGTATCTCTATACATTTGACCTAGACTGTGATGTTTCTCTGTGTCATATATGTGTGTGTATGTGGGTATATGCATAATGGAATTTTTTTGAGAGCTGAATGCAACAAATTTTCATTTTAATGTATGCCGTTTAGTGTACATTTAAACTGACAATATTCTATTCCAGTGATGGCGAACCTTTTAGAGACTGAGTGCCCAAACTGCAACCCAAAACCCACGTATGCATCGTCGAGTGCCGGGTGGGTGTGGCCCATTGGGTGGGCGTGGCCCAATGGGTGTGGCTGCGGTGGTAATGGCAGACTGGGTGGGACTAAAAAGTTCAATCAATCAATTCCAACTTTGCAAGATCTTTTTTTTTTCCTGCAAGAAGTTGAAATTGACTGATTGAAGCTTTTTTTTTTTTTTGCACATGGCGGCGCAGGCCTAAAGCGAAAAGATTTTATAAAACCCAGCTGAAGGCCTAGGACTGGGGTGACGGCGCGTGTGCCCACAGAGAGGGCTCTGAGTGCCGCCTCTGGCACCCATGCCATAGGTTCGCCACCACTGTTCTACTCTACTCTACTCTACTCTACTCTACTCTACTCTACTCTACTCTACTCTACTCTACTCTACTCTATTCCCTCAGCTGACTGCTGACAATGACACCATCTTCTTCAACACCACAGTATTATGTATACAGGTAGTCCTTGACTTATAACCACAATTGGAACCAGAATTTCCATTGCTAAGCTAGGCTGTTGTTAAGTGAATTGCAGTGGATTTTATGAACTTTTTGCCATGGTTGTTAAGCAAATCACCATGGTTGTTAAGTGAATCCAGATTCCCCCATTGACTTTGCTTGTCTGAAACCAACTGAGAAGATTGCCAATCATGATAACATCACCCTGGGACCCTGCAACTGTCTAAATAATTGCCAGTTGTTAAGCACTCAAAATTTCGATCATGTGTCTGTGGGAAAGCTGTGCTGGTCGTAAGTGCAAGGACCAGTAGTAAGTCAATTTTTTCAGTGCCATTGTAACTTCGAATGGGCGCTAAATGAATGGTTGTAAGTTGTACTATTTATTTATTTTGATGTCATACAATTTCATTTCTACATGGCCTGTGCATGCCTTATTTGATTCTTTAAAAAAAGTATAGAGGGCTTGCTCAGGCAAAGTAGCAAGCAAAGATGGAGGCCATGGATCTAGCCATTGGTGAACCCAGTGGTGGGATTCGGCCGGTTCGCACCACTTCGGCAGAACCGGTAACTAATTTTTTGTTGCCCAGGCCCAGAATGGACTTCCGGAAGCGGCATCCACACAGAGAACCGGTTGTTCACCTATTTGAATCCCACCACTGGGTGAACCCTATTCACCAATCACCATAGTTTTATTAATTTAAATATTATTTATTTTATTTTATGGGTAATATTATGTAAATTTACTTCTACGGCTCAAGATGGAGAATTCTTGTTTTAAGCCCCTTTTCCAGAGCAAATATCTTGAGATTCAGAGTCAAATGGGAATTTGAACCTGAGGGCCTAGTGACTCTTTGGCAGTTTCCTCAGATAAGATTAGATTAGATTAGATTAGATAACCTTTATTGTCATTTTTTTCCTGTGGGCACAACACATGTTAAAAATGAAATCTAGTTGCTTGCTCTCAAGTGTACACATACATAACACACATTTAAACATACTATGTACAACATACGTATAGATGTACACATGGGCTTTCTCCTAAAAAAAACCCCGTTTCTCTGCATAACTCATACATTCAAAACCATTCTCAGTTCAGCTGAGAATGAAAGAGTGAAGAGAAGAGCAACAAAGATAATAAAAGAGGTTAAATCGTATGGTGAACGGCTAAGGGGCTAAGGCAGGGGTAGGCAACCTTGACTCTTTTATGACTGGTGGACTTCAACTCCAGAATTCCTGAGCCAGCCATGCTGGCTCAGGAATTCTGGTGGTTGAAGTCCACCAGTCATAAAAGAGCCAAGGTTGCCTACCCGTGGGCTAAGGGAACCAGGTATGGCTACCTAATGAAGAGAGGGCTTAAGGGTGACATAATAGCTATCTCCGGTACTTGAGGGGCTCTCACAGAGAAGAGAGGGTGAACTTATTCTCCAAAGCACCTGAGGGCAGCACAAGAAGCAATGGGTGGAAACTCATCAAGGAGAGATCCTGACAGAGAGAACGATTAATCAGTGGAACAGCTTGCCTCCTGGAGTTGTGGGTGCTATATCACTGGAGGTTTTTAAGAAAGGATTGGACAATCATTTGTCCTGGATGGTATAAGGCAGGGGTAGGCAACCTTGGCTTTTTTATGACTCGTGGACTTCAACTCCCAGAATTCCTGATCTAGCCATGCTGGCTCAGGAATTCTGGGAGTTGAAGTCCATGAGTCATAAAAGAGCCAAGGTTGTCTACCCCTGGTATAAGGATTCCTGCCTTGGATAGGTGATTGAACCAGAAGACCTCCAGGGCCTTCCAACCCTGTGATTCTACTCTATTCTGTTGTGTTCTGTTCTGCTCTGCTCTGTTCATTTCCTAGATGTAGTTCTTTTAAAAAAAGTTGAACTATATATACTTACATGGTGATCCTTCAGAAGGATTCAAGTGGGAGGATTTATCTGCCAAAAAAAAAAAGGAAAGAAAATTTTATACACATTAGAAATTCTTAAGTTGAATCTGTAACCTAGTAAGAAATCCAGTTAAACTGACGAAATCTGAGTGAGAACACGAAGAAGAGGAACGAAAATCCCGTCTATCTCATTAACTGTCTTTGGTGAAATAATCTCGAAAAACGCAAGCAACCAAAGTTACCAGCTGCTGTCCAATTATTGCCAAATAACAAGTATTGGCTTTTTCTGTAAAGAATTTGATTTCACCCTTGAGGTAATGGTAAAATAGATACGGTTATCCCAAAGACTAAATAAGTAAGAATAAGTTGGAGACATGTAAATCCAAGGCACTGAAAGAATACAGAGGCAAACTTATTTTACTCCCAAAATAGTTTGCATAAAACAGTTTCTCCCAGTCGAGAGACCTTTCAGAAATGTGGATTTCAAAACCCAGAATTCCCTCAGTCAGTGCTGAGAGATGAAGCCCACAGATTCTGACTCTGATTGCAGAAGACAGGCGTGTGACATCTACCTAGGTTTTAACCGTCACCAGTTTACCAAAACCATGATTAATATTCATATCTTAATATATATTTTATGTATGTATGTATGTATGTATGTATGTATGTATGTATGTATGTACAATCTTCCTTTTCCTGTGTTGCTTTCCACAGTCTTGGAAAGCAAATGAGTGGCACCAGAGTAACAGAAAATGCAAACTAACTAATAAAAGAAAACCATATAGTAGCCACAAGTCAAACATTTCTAAATAAGTTTCTCATTTCACAAGGACTGAATTCCAGTGATGGCGAATCTTTTAGAGACTGAGTGCCCAAACTGCAACCCAAAACCCACTTATGTATCGTCGGGTGCTGGGTGGGTGTGGCCAATTGGGTAGGTGTGGCCAATTGGGTGAACGTGGCCAATTGGGTGAGTGTGGCCCATTGAGTGGGCGTGGCTGCGGTAGTAACGGCAGACTGGATGAGACTAAAAAGTTCAATCAATCAATTCCAACTTTGCAAGTTCTTTTTTTTTTCCATGAGAAGTTGAAATTGACTGATTGATTGAACCTTTTTTTTAGGTGGAGGCCTAAAGCGAAAAGGTTTTATAAAACCCAGCTGAAGGCCTAGGACTGGGGTGACGGCATGCGTGCCCACAGAGAGGGCTCTGCGTGCCACCTGTGGCACGCGTGCCATAGGTTCACTACCACAGCTCTATAGCAATGGCGTCCTCTACATAACCCAACTTTGCAACATTAAAAAAAAATCTGGAAGGATTTGTTTTCTCTTAAACATGCAACTATATTATCCTTGATCACCATTAATGGGAGTCACGTGTGTAACGCGTGGAGAGAAAAGCGAATTGTGGAACTGAACATTCTGTTCTGATTCTGTATCTATGGCATCTCCAAGTTTCTTTATTTGGCTTCTAATGCAGATCTATCAGGAACGGATCCAATAATATATTTGTAACAATGCACACAACAAATGGCCTGTTTTGCATCAAAATCTGTGATAACAAGAGATGCAACTCTTATTTAGTTGCTGTCATTTCTAACCCTTACAAATTTGCTCTTAGTTCATAATGATAATGGGCCACAAGGGCTTGCTTCATAACCAAGAGGGTGTATACTGCATGCTGGTGCCCATTAAGCTGATTGTCTGAAAAATTCCAGGACACTTTCCAGTAGACATCCCACAATAAATTTTGCCAGCCCTTAGTTCACTATGTTTATTATCAAACTCTTTTCTCTTCTAAAATAAGAAAAATCTAAAAAGCTCTATAAAATATTTGGTTTAATTTAAACTACTGAGGTATTAGGTTCCTTAGAGAATTGAACCCAAATGACATCCATTCTTGCTGATCCAATGAGGCATTTTGCTAGCTATTGAAATTCATGAGAGATTATGGATATGGCCAGAAAAACACAAAAAAGCAAGCATTTTAATTGCATTGTGCACAGAGACCACGGGATTGTCCTCAGTGGATTCATTTGTGTCAAGAATAAAGATTTGCAAAAAAAAAAAACAACCCTTGAGGTCTCAAATAGTTAAGCAGAAACAGTTGTTCTTCTCACACCCCAAGCAGTGCACCATGGTATACCATCAATTGCTTAAATGCCAAGAAGAACTCTCTCATGTGACTGAGGTTAAGGGATTTCTGATCTTCAGCTTTTTTTTTTAAATCCCTTAGAATTTGAAACAGCCCTGGCATAGAAGTGAAAGATTTTGATCTCCATCTGAAAGCACTGTAACCCTCTAATTAATGTGCCATGTCAACACCAAAATGGAAGAATGCAAGGTTGAGGTTTTAAAAATAAGTAAAAATGCTCATTTGCTGCTATTGTTAGAGGGGCCCAAAGAAAGATTATTTTCATATGCGCATGCATGGTTAGGTGGGCCCCCCAGTTTTTGCCATCCATATGAATCAACCCTGATTTTGAAAACAACATTGGTCCAACTTCAATTGGTTAAGATTGGCTGTTTAATCACCTATTGCTTTTTCAACTCTATTTTATATTCTCTCTTTACAACATACAATATGGGGAGATTATATTCTGTAACTTTCTACCATTTTTCCATTCATGAAGGGGGGGGGAAGGAGAGGAAGAGGAGAGAGAAGAAGCACAACAGGGATTTATTTAAACAAAACAACAACAATCAGTTCCAGTATAGGATGAATAAGGTAATGTTGGCTTAAATAGCTCTTTCCAAGTTGGCAGTTATTCTGGTCTCTCTCTCTCTCTCTCTCTCTCTCTCTCTCTCTCTCTCTCTCTCTCTCTCTCTCTCTCTCTGTCTGTGTGTGTGTGTGTGTGTGTGTGTAGGGGCCGCATATTCCCCAGCTAGCAGTAATGCCTGAATAATTTGGGACAGAAATCAGAATTTTGGATGTGGATTATGTTCTGGCTTATCCATGTGCCTCCAACTACACAATGAAACGAACCTTTATATGCAACATCATCTATAAGGAATGTTCATTGCACTCAATTACAAAGAGGCAAAAAGGATACATATATATCCAGCATTTCAGATTTCTGGCAGCTTCAAATTAAAAATAAATAAATAAAAATTAATACACATCACACAGGATTGTTTCTTTTCTCGTATGGGTAGAGAGAAAAGGGGGAAGATTATATAGCACTAACAAATATACCGAGAGAGACAAAGATTCCCTTTGTAGTTCTATCTGTGCACATAATTTTGGATTATCAAAACAACTGCAAATGTTCTTTGAACACAGGACACTATTCGTGTGTTAATATCGGATGGGTTCAGTGAACCAATTAACCGCATTAGGTTAATTTAATTGGTCGGAAGCCTTGCAAACCTCAGGAAACTAAATTCCAAATAATATGAGGAGCATTTTAAGAGAAAAAGTTGTGTGGGAGAAGGAAGTCAATATAGAAAGTAGAAGTGTGGATTGTGGACTGGGACATGAAGCACCAGAAAACAAACTGCATATGATAGAAAAGTTTTATCCGAGCAGATGGAAAGTAAGGGGGGGGGGTTTAACATACCAATGCAGGCAGTCCTCGATTTACGACCACAATTGAGTCCAAAATTTATGTTGCTAAGTGAGAAATTTGTTAAATGAGTTTTCGCCCCATCTTATGACTTTTCTCGCCACAGTTGTTAAGTGAGTCACTGCAGTTGTTAAATTGGCAACACGGTTGTTAAGTGAATCTGGCTTTTCATGTGACCCCCCCGGGACACTGCAACCGTCATAAATGTGAGTCAGTTGTCAAGCATCCGAATATAAATGTAAATCACGTGACCATGGGGATGCTGCAACGGTCATAAGTGTGAAAAATGGTCATTTTTTTCAGTGCCGTCGTAACTTCGAACGGTCACTAAATGAATTGTTGTAAGTCGAGGACTGCCTGTAAGGATCAGGATAAGGGACATGTTTCAGATGGAAACGGAAGCGCTTAAAGTATTGCGCTGGCGTTTTTGTTAGGGAAAACAAGCCAGGACGGTCTAACAGATTTGTTATTTACTGTATATACTTTCTCCTCCTGAAAAAAAGAGATTAACAATGATACAGATACAAGGAGGGGAAAAAAGGAATCTCTTCAGATTTCTAAATATAAATATTGCCATTTTCTTTGTTGGTCGTCTTTATTAACAGAAACATATTATGCTACGGAATATTTTCAATATATTTGAAGTTCCGTTACAAAGTTTAAATAAGTATTTACCGCCCCCAAAGAAATAAATTATACAGCTTTCCCAATATCTATAGCATAATGAACAGCTGGAATCAATCAGGCAGCATCATTTAATGTTTATGAATTCCATATATAGAAGCAAAATACATTCCTTTGTGAATCCTTGGCCAAATTGCACTTGGAAGAAGATTCAAGGAAAATATGAGTGCAAACAAATATTAGTGTTTAACAAATAATGGCGTCTTATAAATCAGGAATAATAATAATATCACCAGAATGCAAAATTGTATATGCCTGGAGGCAAACTTGTATGCAGAGATTCAAAATATGTTCAGTACCTTCTGGTCTCCCTTTAGTTATCACAGCAAGAGGTTTGGTGAAAGTTTTCTTATTCTGCATCATTGCAAAGATCATATCAACATTAAGAAAGGTGCACGCTTCATCTGGAAGGATACACTGCAAGATGGAGACAACAGGCAGCTTGTAAGATCAGGGACTCACTCAAAATGTCTATATTATCACAGCAAATGTTCATCATCATCATCATCACCACCACCATCATTATCAGTACTCAGTAATATTTACTCAAGGAAGGACAAAACCTAAAAACATTTTCCAAGAATGTTTGCAAGAATTCCTTTCAGTTACATCTCAACTTTTCCTTGATGCTTGAGTTACTTAAAACTCTACCAATCCCATCACAAGACCCTCACTTGACACTCCCACGCCTGAAGCCCTTATATAAGTAGAACCCTGACACTGACATCCCCTAAACCAGGGGTGTCAAACTGCCGGCCCATGGGCCAGACGGGTCATCCGTAAGCCGCGCCCACCCCATTGCTGGCAATGGCAAAACTGTCCCGATACGTTGCGCAACGTCATGTGATGTGGTGAGTTTGACATGTCTGCCATAAACTCCGCTGAAGATGTTACATAGCCTGGTAACGAAACATCTCCTCAAGCTTGGAGAACGAACCTTCACTCTCAACCTACAACCCGAGCTACAGATGTTCACCCCTATTGCAAACTCTACCGATTCTCAAGGCCCAGAGAGTTTCTTTTGTGCAATGTCCCTTGTTGCTTCACCACTGTGTTGAAAAGGTTCTTCTGTTTCCTACCCCATTTGCTATCTTCATGAACACAATGAACACAATAGGTAATGAGACTAGACAAGATGATTGTTGATCTGCTCTAAGACTGTTCAGTCCCCCCCCCCGAGTAGAAAAGTAATATTGCCCATTTAAAAAAAGATGTTGATTATTTTAATGTTTTGGAACAAAGAGACTCCCCTCCCCTGCTTAGAGATATTTACTACATCTATAAAACAGATATTCTATGTGAGATAAACAATTTAAAAATGCAGAAATTAAGTTTAATTTTATTTTCCTTCAAAATCCTCTGAAGCAGATCAACCTAATAATTCACCAGTAGAGGTTCAGAAACAATAGCATTATTTTATCTCAGCAGGATCTGGAAAATTAATGCTAATGCATTGTTTACAACAAATGTGATGAGCACCGAATAGTTTAAGTAAATCTGAACCGCTCCAACAATAGAACGCAATTTCTATCTATCACCTATAACCATTTAGTGGAAAATATATCTCATGCCATCAAAAGCTTAGCAGTTTTCATTGTGAAAACTCAACATATATTGTCCTACTGCTGTTAATTGCAATTATTCCTAAGTTTATTAACCTTTTGGAATCTATTGTAATGACAATTTATACCAAGTAGCTTCATGAATGAAGGCAAATGTACATGTCCCAGGATAATGTTTCAGGATCCAATGGGGTCAGTCACCAGAGACCAGAGGTTTAGTCTTCCAAGCTTTCAGACTTGTGCTGGAGCCTACCTACAGAGAACTTCTCTCTCATCAGAATGTGTGCTTTGGCCTATTCCAGTGATGGCAAACCTCTTAGAGACCAAGTGCCCAAAAACTGGCCCCACCCCACTCCACTCCCTGCCCCACCCCTACTCTGCCCCCCCATCCCCTGCCCCACCTGCCCGCAGGGCCACTCACCATCTCCAGGGCCTGCCACAGATCGCCCAGGCAGCCCAGAAGCACTATGGCGGTCACGCCCTCTGCCTGAGCCCTGCAGCATCAACTGCACACAAAGGGGTGTGAGGGCAGAGTCTTGTCTATGCTGCCTGGCTGCCATGTCCTTGGCTGCGCTGCTCTGCGTGGGCCACGCTCAGGGGAGACTCTTTTCAGGGGGGCTGCTGGAGAGGAGAGGTTCGTGGAGGGAGGCGAGGCTGGGGCAACGGCATGTGTGCCCACAGAGAGGGCTCCGAGTGCCGCCTCTGGCACCCATGCCACAGGTTCGCCACCCACTGGCCTATTCTATACATAGTATTTATGTGGTGCCCGGTTGGGTGTGGCTTCTTACACTCCAATCAACCAATAAGAAGTCACACCCACTCAGCCACCATATAAATACTACGCATAGAATAGCCCAAAGCACACATTTAGGTAGAGAGATGTCCCTGGAGGATGGGCTCCAGAACAAGTCTGAAAACTAGACCTCAGAAAACTAGACCTCTGTTCCCAGTGACCAACTCAGATTGGATCCTGCAAGTAGCTTCAGTTCACCTATGTTCAAATGAATTAACCCTAGTGGTTAAACTGGCCTTCTTAAGATAATTTTTCCCCTCCCAGAAATGCCCAGCTGACATGGCACACTGGTGGAACTGGATGGCCTACAGTCCAACAACAAGGAATGCACAGGTTGGGCAAGAGGAATGGATTATTAGAATAATTGATATGGGCCTGTCTTATATGTCTGAGGAACATCCTAGGAAAACACAGAATATTCTTTAGACTAACAGCCTAATCTTACAATGGGCAAAATGCTACTTGGCAATTACAGTCTAAAGTCTTTCTACAGAAGATCTTCCAAAACCGATCATCCCTTCTGACGCAAATGCTTTCAGGAAATGGAGTTGAATATATTATTCTTTTTAAAAAAAAGTTTGTTTTGAATGTAAAGAAGAATGAGACGGAGGAGGAAGCATAGAAAAAAAAGGGGAGGAATAACAACAAAATACCTATTAGGTTACATACAAAAAATACCATTCAGCCACATTTTTAGAAAAACCATTAATCCTTGACCATATGAAATTGTATTCATCAGTCTTTCTTTTACGCTGGAAAAGAGCCAACTCTGAGCATTCATATTAAGCCCTGCCTCAATATTATAACAGCTCCATGTGCAGAGGAGTAGCTGCACACTGTACAATCTATTCTAGAAAAACTCACTGTTACTCATGTAGAAAATGTATCGGTTAACATTATCTGTTGCAAATTGGTTTAACCAATCAGTCACACTTATAACTTCTTTGGCTACACTATTGTGTAAAGTAGCTTCCCAAACTTGGCACTCTCCAGCTATGCAACTCCCAGCCAAAGTCTAAGGCTGGGTTTCCTAAACTAAGGGCCATGAGCCCCCATAAGAAATGTGGCCAGAGTCACATTTTAAAACAAAAACAAAAACTGGACATGCAGAGGCAAAGAGACAGCAGGGCAATATTTTGTTTCGTGCTTTTTCTCTGCAAGTTGGTTGTTGGTTCATCCAAGGCAGAACACAAGCAAGTTTTGACAACACTCTCTAGGGCTGTCAAACTCCATCAGCATGCTGATCTCTACCTTCCCTGTTCAAATCTGTAGCAGGAAGTATTTCTTGATTGAAATTACATTATAAAGAGCATGTGGTATGTTTATTTCTTGCCCAGCTTTAACCTTAATACCATCAGTAGTTTTCTTCATTTGACATTCATTTTAGAACTTTGGCTTTCTCTATTTTCTTTTTCAGTGATTCACATTAAACAAGCAAATTCTTAGTTTCTTCAGAATTGTTAACCTACCAGAACGGTTGCAATGTAGGTGAATCACACTATATATGATTGGTGCTCTCAGAAAACAATCTATGCCCACCTTTGTTGTCAGATCCACACATTAAACCACAACCAAGAAAGTTTTGGCTTAAGTTTTATCTTAAAACTCTTAGTGGTGGTGTAGATTGCAGCACAAGGCAATTACAGATGTGTGTTTGTGTGTGCCAGAAAGAGAAAAAGGGAGAGGAATCTTCTCACAAATTACCTGAGCTAATCCTGGAATATCTTTTTCTTTCTTTGTGCATAAAGTCACCTCACAGTGTAGAAAGAGAAGAGAGCTGTTGAATGTGGATTTGAATAAGAAGCTAAATCGCTTTTTGTCGGTCTGTGTGTTCGGGACAGGAAAATTAGCTTTCGGAACATTGAAGAATCTTACAGACTCATCTTTAGGACAAACATTTTCAATAATGGTAAATTCTGACATTCGATCAGGATAGGAATTTGGTGAAATAAAGCAAGTTTGGATTACAAAGCCCAGGGATCTCTCAGCCTTTGTCAGAGAAATCTGCACAAGAAAAGAAAAATAGATTATGCTACATTTAATGTTTTTGAAGACTGCAGAGCAGTATAATAAAGTCAATCAATCAGATGTTGAATACCTTGGCTATCCCTCCCACTTGGATAATCTGCAGAATTAGGAAACCTGGTGCCTGTCATTCCCCCCACATCAGGAGGGATTTTAAGAGTTTTAGGAGACATTTTTTTTTCTTTTATGGTAACCACCATTTTTAAAAGTGGAATATGGAAACATACTTTTATAGGTGTAATATCCTCAAAGACCTTGTGGTATGTTAAGTCATGGTTTCTTTGTAGTTTGTTCACTAAACCTTAATTGGCTGGGTTCATATATAATGCCAAGTTGAACGAAAACTAGCTGCATTCTATTTTAGCACAGGGTAAACTCATTAACCAAGAGGGATTGCACTCTTTTAAAGTGTGGTGACACAAATGTAGTCGACTATAGTTGGGTGTGAATGTTAGTTTTTACAGAGTCAAAAATAATCAACTTTATACTAGAAAATGACATTAACAAATTAAGGAACAAATGAGAATTTTATCTTCTACCCCTTACAGAGAGAGGAGATAGAGAGGGACACTACTGTATATTGAGAATTTGCATGTGATACACAGCAGTTCTTGGACTTTTTTCACAGTTCTTGGTTGTTCGAAACCACTCAGAGATGCCAGAGATGGACGGCCGTATAAATCTTTTAAATAAATAAAAAAGGAAAGAACTGTGCATGCTCATTTTTTAAACTGTGTGTGCTCAGGCATGTTTTGCCGGCAATTTGCAAGAGAAAAACATGAAACAATAGAGCCTTATTTTCATGAATGATTGTTATTTCATAGAAGGCTTGATGAGGAAGACACATGTTTTGTAGTGGACCTGCCATATTACTAAGATTCCTTGGTCTTTACCACAAAAGAATTATCTTATTCAAGATTGGTACAATTTCCTCTTTTCAGAAACCACAAGAGGACGCATCTGCCTGCCAGAGGCAATTGAACCAGGCCAGCTTAGGATATACAAGAACAGCCTCTTCTCAGCTACCATGTTCCTGAAAAACATTTCATTGATTCCTATTTCTGCTCGAGTCAATTACCTCGACAAAAATGTGGCTGTTGTCTGCCACAGAGAAGAATCCTTGAACTGGGGTACGAAAAAGCTCCGTCTCGTAGAGTTCCATTCCAAAAGTGGCATTGCCAACATGTATTTCAGGGGGCCAGAACTTGGAAACCCTTGGATCTCTCGGTTGATGGAATGTGCAATTGAACTAGTCCAAAGACAAGAAGATAAATTAATTTAAGAAGATAGAAAAACATATAAGGAAAGGCAAGAACAGTTGTGGACTCCATGTGGACTCCCAATTACATTTTTATAGCCTTAGAAAACCTTACAGTCCTGTTGCCAAAAGACGATATTTCAGAAGCGTGGTCTTCTGCCATTTTATTTTTTAATGTTTTGAGACTTGGGTTAGATCTAAAATATTTGAGAGCTTTGGTGGCCTAGTTCCATCCAGTCAGACAATGTCTCCATAAAGACCCAGACACACATCAACACTCCCATCACAAACATATTTCAAGTATGACTGATTCACAAACATTTTTGAAAGGGAGAAAAATCAAGCTTTCTTTAAAATTGACTTATCTCTCCTTTGCTTTGGTTCAGAATGATGTTTTCTTTTTATCTTATTTTCCTGTCTAACTCTTTCATGAGCGATACCATAAAGTCCTTATGAATACACACAATCAAACAACGCTCTCTGACCTTATTAAGGCAGCAATTTAAATCTTCTTCACTAAATTTATGGCAAGAGAGACATATACTCTTAAATACAGACAACTGAACAAAAATAAATGTTTGGGGCGAATTTATCATTTTGAACAAAGAACAGATTGGGAGATGGGATAAATGAGGAAACCCAAAAATATTGGCTGAAGGGAAGCTTTTCTTAAAACCAAAAAAAAAAAAAGCCTATTTGGAAAGAAAAGGTTCATTGGGAAAACACAGAGACTATTCACAACTTAACAGCATGAAAAACTGATATTGTTTTGGGATTGGAAGGAGAAAGTTAGTACTCTGGTTCCTGAATCAATAAAAGATATATAATTCACAGGTGCACAGAAACGTGTCTGGCTTTCAAGCAGTCCGTGTATCATAAATGTTGTTTATCAAATACTTTAAAAAACTCAAAGTGCTAAGAAATGATCATTATCAGTCTTCTGAATTCTCAAGCCAAATGATGGATAATCAATACATACCACAACAATGACAGGCCGGCTGAAAAAGGTGATGTCTGATTCATCGGTGTCCCCAGGAAAACCATTATCCCCTGATTCCATGTCTTCATAATCAACTAGCCAACCACTAGCTTCAGATGATGGTGACACCTGGATAACAATCTTTAACCAAATGGAGAAAGGGAAAAAACCAACAACTGTCAAAGCTGTTCTGGGTTCTGGTCCCATCTCGCTTGTCTCCTTGATAAGAAAGGTGCAAGGAAAAATTGGTTATGGGGACGATCTAATAGTAGTAGATCTGTTATCTGCCGTTTTAAGCTTATCCTATTTTTCCATGCAACCATTGTTTGAAATGTTAGATCAAGACAATAACCACATTCATAGGAAATACCCTCTGCTTTCCCAAATTTTAGCTCCTTCCGGGGGATACGCTGGCTAGGCAGTTTCAGGATATGAAGTTCACAAATCGGGGACCCCTTGTTTCGGTTTGTGTACAGCATGCAAACAGAAGAAGCCTATACAAACGGCTATACAGGTAGTCCTCGGCTTACAACAGTTCATTTAGTAAATGTTTGAAGCTGCAACAGTACTGAAAAAAGTGACTTGTGACCAATTTTCACACTTACGACCGTTGTGGTATGCCAAAGGGTCATGTGATCAAAATTCAGACCCTTGGTGGCAACCAACTCATATTTATGATGGTTGCAGTGTTCTGGGGTCACCTTTCGTGACCTTCTAACAAGCAAAATCAATGGGGAAGCCAGATTCACTTAACAACCGTGTTACTAACTTAACATCCGCAGCGATTCATTTAACAAGTGTGACAAGAAAGGTTGTAAAACGGGGCAAAATTCACTTAACAAATGTCTCACTTAGCAACAGTAATTTGGGGCTCAATTGTGGTCATAAGTTGTGGACGACCCGTATGCTCTGGTCAGCAGGATAGCTTAAGAACCATTTACCTTAAATTTTGCAGTTGATTACAGCAGGGGTCCCCAACCCCCAGTCCGTGGACCGGTACCAGTCCACGGCATGCCAGCAACCAGTCCACACAAACAAGCAAAGCCCCATCCTTGCGATGCAGGCAGCACACAAAACCACGCATTCTCCAGTCCACGGAAAAACCTCTCTCCATGGAACCGGTCCCTGGTGCCCAAAAGGTTGGGGGCCTCTGGATTACGGTTTATTTAAACTGTGATTGTTAATTTGCACAGAATTTGTCAGGAGTTGGTCAAAGGTAAATGAATGCTGAATGATTCCTATTCTTTTCAGTAGACAATAAAAAGAGGAAGTACGGTATGTACAGAATGGCAAGTTTCTAAATGATGCTGAACATTCATCTTGTAGGAAGTTACTGAATATTACCATTACAAAGAGATACCCCAGGATCTAAACCCTTCAATTCCACCCCCATATCTTCCCAGTCGGTCAATTTATCTATTTGCATCATGGTAAAAATAGGCTTATTGTTAGGCTTCCAAACCTGGAGTGTAATAGAAGTAACATATTGGTTTTAAAAAGCCATCTGAGTATTGGCACATAAATGACTATACCAGCAGTTTTACTTCTCCTTCTGGTAAAACTATATCATATACTGCATTTCAAAAAGGTAATGGGTCATTGAACTGGACTTGCATATATCCTACTTTTTTAATAATCATCACAGTATTCAGTAGGCAAAGAGCTTTAACTTTATACTACTTCAGTATTTCTTTATTTGAAGAACACACAATAATAGTGAGTTTTCTTCTTCTTTTACTTTGTATTATCGTCTCCCTGCTATACCCATTAAGTTTTTGCTACTCCCAACTATGCTTTTTTAAAAACAACAAAATAAAAACCCTTTCCCAAAATAACTCCCCTATTGAGCGCATTACTCATTTGTGCTTTTCATACACAAATGTTTCCTACATATTCTTCTGGATTTCCTGATGATGCAGTATTTCTTCAATTCAGTTCTACCTTTGTTTGCTCACATGACAGATGGTTGACATGCAAAATGTATTTCTGAGCTTTTTCAGGCATTTGCTTCATAATTCACTGCTAGTTTCAGTGAGTTAGAAATTGGTCTGAGTACTAAGAAAAATCTGTGCTTTTGAGATCAATTTAACGTTTAAAGATAGGAGTCCAACTGCTGAGTTGAGATCCAGATGTATTTTTCCACAGCCTGTTGATCGATAGTTTTTGTTGGGTACATCTCTAGATCAAATGCCAAAAGCTCTAGCCAATAAAGGATTTTAAATGGTCTTTTTAAATATATATATTGGATAAGGCTATGTGTGATCAGGTTGCCTTAGCTATATTTGAGTTGGACAACAAGTTTTCTTCATTTGCCAAAATTGTCACCATGTGCTGAAATTACAAAAGCCAATAGCTGTGCTTGTTTACCTGAACTGGCTAACATCCACCCAAGTCACAGTGAAAATGCTGAATCAGACTGAAGAGAAAAAAATCTTACATGGGCAAAATAACTTGCATAGCTGTTTATACACTTGGAAAAATCCATTTCAACCCTGGATTCAAATTTCCAGCACTGGATATACATTAATATTGAAAATATATTTAACATAACTAGCATACACCAGGAAACCCCCCCAAAAGCATATTCAATATGCTTTAACTTAAAATATGACTTATTTTGGAATTGCCAAGTTACTGTATTTGGTTTACTTCTAAATAAGTTCGTGCTTGCAGCTACTACTGAAAAATAACTGCAATTATCCATATACTCTCGCCCCAATCCAATAATGATGAGTAACTGAAAGAGATATCATACAGTTCTATTAAAAATACTTATCCTTGTTCAGATTTTTGCATACCTTTGCCACTGAACGTTATCAGATATATATTCTCTGTTGAAATAGAATCTGTGTGACAAACTAATATTAAAGTTTCACCCTTGCTTCATATATGTCCTAAACGAAGTCACCCAATTGGCAAAGTGCTAGAAAGAAAACCCAAATTTTGTAGATTCCTTAATTAGTTGCACCATTTTAGTTGTTATAACTGCAACCAAACAGTTTCAGTTCTTGGTGATCAGTCTTTTACATTGCTCTGTGGGAATTTTGGCCCATTCCTCCATGTCAAGCTGCTTCAGAAACATTTGAGGGTCTTCTAGCATAACCATTTCAGATCCTGCCACATTTTTGCTGCATGTTAAATGACTTTACTTCAAAAATAATAGACACAAGATCAGATCCTCTCTATAAGTCAATAGGACCCACATGAAGTTCTTGTAATTTTCAGGGACAAAGATATGCAAAAATTCAGACAATCAAAAGGGTGGCAAATTTTATTTCATAGATGTGTCTTTGACGAATGGTGTCATCCCACCATCTCTTATTAGAAATCAACATTAGATATGGTACCATATGCATCTGATGAAAGATATTATAATGGTAACCTGTGGACTAAAAAGCAACTAGGAAATATTCCTCCCCTCTCACATATTTTGCCTTTCAGTGTTTTTAGCTATAAATCTGGAAAAAGATGTGGAGCAGATTTCAGTAGCTTTGTATCAGAGAAACAACTCAGAAACAATCTCTGCTGTTCCTCCCAATGTCTTCTAAGAACTGAGGAGCAGAAAGAGAGATTTGGGGTTCCATTTCAGTATTTTTCTAGGAGATAAGAGACTCACAGAGTTGAGATAGACAATGTTATCCAAAGGATAGGGAATCTGTCGGGTCCCACAATCTTGCAAAGATGACTCCAGAATGAAATGGGTCCTGTTTGTTTTAGCTCTGCAGCTCGGATCCAGCAGAGAGAGCTGAGTCCCAACGAAACCGCTAGCCTAAAAGGAAACAAAAAAAGCTAGAAGGTTATACCTGAGCCACTGATCAGAACTGCAAAGGGCAGTGATAAAAAACAACAACTAGCACCAAGCATTTTCTCTCACATCGAGACACTCTGTATTAGAAATCTATTGTACGATTATTTGTGCTGTCACAATGAATGAAGTAGGAAACCAGCAGGCACATGCGCCATCGTCCCAGTCCTAAGCCTTCAGCTGGGTTTTATAAAACCTTTTCGCTTTAGGCCTCCACCACTGTGTGCAAAAAAAAAAAGTTCAATCAATCAATTTCAACTTCTCGCGGGGAAAAAAAGATCTTGCAAAGTTGGAATTGATTGATTGAACTTTTTAGTCCCACCCAGTCTGCCGTTACCACTGCAGCCATGCCCACCCAATGGGCCACACCCACCCAATGGGCCACGTCCACCCGGCACCCAACAACACATAAGTGGGTTTTGGGTTGCAGTTTGGGCACTCGGTCTCTAAAAGGTTCGCCATCACTGGTCTACCCCATTCAGTAGAATGAAGAAATGAAGATCATGAGAATGCAAAGTAGACTTGAACATTTCGGCATACAACACTGTAGAGAAATGGGATTTTTGAAGTTCCCATCCGTTTTTGAGGAAACAAGACGAAGCTTCTTTACATGTATAAAAGCTATCATAGAAGGGAGGAAGGCAGTAAACTTTTTCATTTCCTGTCTGTGGGATTTCTGTATCAATGGACTTTTAAATGGAGAGATTTGCAAAAACTGATCAGTTATTTCAGGGGTCTCCAAACCTGGCAACTTTAAGACTTGTGGACTTCAACTCCCAGAATTCCTCAGCCAGCCAGGGCTGGCTGAGGAATTCTGGGAGTTGAAGTCCACAAGTCTTAAAGTTGCCAAGTTTGAAGACCCCTGAGTTATTTGAAACGACACGGTGCATTCTACTATCTCAAGACTGTGACTTTATTCTCTTAACTAGGCTTTGCATCCTACCTGAACAAAAGCTGCACTGCTGAGCCTGTGGACTCAGCTGAGTGTCACTACTTTTTAGAGCCAAATGGAACACTAATGGCCCCTTAGGTCACATGACGTTTGCTGAGCTGATGAGAAGAACATCTTCTGCTTTTGCTTTGAGGTTCAGCAGAACCGTATTCATCAGAACAAGCAAGAGGAACCCGAAATGATACAAAGCAGCAGTGAGGATACCGGTCTTGCACCAGTATGCATCTGACTAACCAGAATCCAAAATAATTTATTTTGAAATGAAATTAAAACACCATACTAACCTCCAGCGAGTCTTTTGCTACAGCTACCATCATGGATGTATCATTACATATCACAGACATGGCAACATCAACGCTACCCTGCACTTCTTCTGGCTCTGGGTCTTTTGGAAGAAGCTGTTCAAAACCACGACTGGCCATGATTGGGTCAACAGTGTCGGTTGATGGCAAGGAGCCTTGGTTCTTCTCATGAAGAAAACCAAAATGCATGTCTTCGTTCAAACGTGGGGCTTTAATGCCATGCAGCAGTTCCTTCAGCTCTGGTGGAAGGAAATCGTCTTCTTCATCGTTCATTTCTTCTACAGAAAGAGAGAAATTACAAATAGTAATTCCATTCAACTTATTCATAACTAGAGTCATGCATTGGTTAGTTTACACAGCATGTTAAACCATGATATTATTTTTTCTTTGCCTTCCCAAGAAATAGTTTCTTTGACCTATTTTTCAATTCAATATTTGATGGTTTATGATTTCCACCTTGCTTTAACCATGACTTATTATGTTTGAATGAGTATTATTTATTTATTATTATTTATTATTTAAATTTATATACCGCCCTATCTCCCTTACGGGACTCAGGGCAGTGAACAGGCAATAATAAAAATCACAATAAATGTTGAATAAAAAGCCTGCTCTAAAATACCCCATATAAAACCCCTAGCAAAGCCCAATCAAAACTACGCCAGGCCGGCCGCATGGAATAGATGGGTTTTCAACACTGGCTTATTCCTAAATTTGTCTTTAACTCAACTTAGCTCTTGTTGTTCCTGGCAGAAGTAACAAAGAGAAAAATCCTAAGAATTTACCCAATATGTCTTATCAGCAAAACTGGCTTTGGCTTGTTCCTGGCTTTCTCAACCAATCATGGTTATAATAAATGGTTATAACAAATGCTGACTTAGCAGGATGCATGAAACGGACATTATGTTAAGAATGCTATTTAATTTGCTAATTATGTTATGTACAGTTAGGATCTGATACTTCTCTTTCTTCACAGGAAACAACAATGAAGGTATCTCATTTGGCAGGGCATGTGCAAAAGAAGATATAATCCTCTCCATTCTTTCAACCTGCCCAGTGTTGTTTCCTTCCTGAAAATCTAGATCCCTTTTAGTTCCTTGTTCTTGGAGGGATAAAAACTGCCTTGGTAAGTTATGCAAAATATAAAAGTATGAATTCCCTCAGCAACCTTAACTCAGGAAAACAGAACATTTGAAAAATAAAGTACAAAGCTGAGAATCATCTGATGTTCTTCCTTACCTGCATCCATGAGCTGTAGGTGAAACTTATTAGCAAGGGGTGCTTTTGTATAAGTAGTAACTGGGTAGTAGCCATGCTCATATGCCCAGGCAATTAAATTCTCATGAGAGGAAGGCATATCAAACACTATAGTTTTACTCATTGCCATAGAGCGTTCCGTTTCTTTTCCAAAGCCAACCCCATTTGATGTCTATAAAACAGAAAATAAAAACTTTAGCCTTGGACAAAGCTATTTTTTCTTAGAAAACTTATTTTTTTTAGTTTTGAAAGGTTTAGTTAACTATCACTTCAGATCAAACTTTGCATTCATTCATTCACTCACTCACTCATTCATTTTGTGCCATTCAATCAGAAGCAATCAATGTTTTCTTGTCCACACGAGGAATTTTATCAAAAGGAACAAAAATTGGTGGGTAATCTGTAAGATAAGTTCAAACAATTTTAACTGAGGAATATCCACATGACAGAACCTCATCGCTTCATGAGATTCTTCTATTGATAACCACAACATATAAAATGGCTCTATGGGTTTGATCACACAAAATAGTGCTTTGGACCCTAACTGCACTTAGCAAACAGAATGAGATCCTCCATGCCAAGGGATAATTGAGAGGAAATACACACTGTGACAACTTTATTCAACCTGATGCTAAGTACATTTGAAGTTCAAATTCTCAGAATTTCGAACCAGTAGGAGAAAGGACAGAAAAGACAGTGTAATGATTCTTATGGCTTATAACTCATTACTAATGATTGGCAGGGTATGAAAACCTCTCTCATCTACTGCCTGCCCCTATCGGGCAGCAAGATTTGAATTAAATTGTAATTTTTGATGTCAGAATGTTTGGAGAATCAGGGGACCATCTGTAAAACTGAAGATCATCTCCAAGTAATCTTTAAGTCTTTGAAAAAAAATATTTTTCACTAGGGCAATGAACACACTTATAGCAATATATTAAAGTGTGCAATAAAAATAAAACACTATATTTACATCATCCAAGTTCCCCTAACTGTTTGCAAAAAGCTTCCAAGAATCCCCAAACCGGACCACTTTAGCAAATGTTGCATTTAAACAACAGTTGGAAAATGGATACTCAGAAATCGTACTTAAAAGGAAATACATATAGTATTGAAGATAGTAAAATAAGAATAGGCCCCATTTTGAGTACAATGTCCCTTGATTCAACGTGCAGCAGGGATAGAAATGCTTTAGGAAGAGAACTGATCTATCTCTAAGCTTACCATTGCCTTGCATTTTCCAGTTATTGAACTGAATAGCTCTGTTCCCATTTATTTTTTCCCTTACAGATGGGCAATCTTTTTATTCTAGACAGCATTTTCTCAGAGATACTCTGCTGAGGAATCATAGTCAGCAGGACTAAAGCACAGAGGGAATCCAAAGCCAGAGGGCATATCAGACCCCTATCCCCTCTGTAGGGCGCTCATTTCCCCTTTCTGATATTTTTCTTTCTCCTTTCATTTTCTCACCAAACATCTTTTCTCTCTTCCAAGCAATCTTAAATTGCAGGTCGCCCTTCCCAATTCAGCAAGTGCTTTCTCTTTGCCATTCACCTCAGCAAAAGCCCGTCAAAGTGTTATTGATTTTAAACATACATCCGAGTCTAAAGATGTAATCACACCTTCTAGCACGATGTGGTCCAACTTACAACATCCTCGTGCAGTTGTAGAAATCTGATTTTCTTGAGCCGCAAACCTATCACAAAAATGCTATGTAAACAAGGTGGGCTCTACGGTTTAGGCTGCCTTGGTGTCCTCTGATGGGCCTAGCTGCTGTATTTCTAGCAACTGTTTTCATTTTTCACAAGGCCCCCAAAAGGTAGCTGTGAGAAATGAAAAGGCCAGTTACATCCAGTTGCGCAAAGCTGCTCAGAATGCCACATTTTTACCCTAACAATAGGAGATTCTAACATTATGTAATGAGATCCCAGCACCTGCCCCAAAATGCCAAATGCTGATAACTAACACTGTCTAAACTGGAGTTCTTGTCAGTGAGAAATATCCCATATTTAGCAATACTGTGTAACTGACCACTGGCGAGCACTGCTCTGTGCAATTATTGGTTTTATCGTATGCCTCCCAGAATCACATTTGTGACATGAGCAGCCATATAAATTAAACTGACAAGACAGACAGATAGAGGATAGATGGTTTCATTTATGAATGCATTCTTGGGAACAGAAGGAATGTGATAGTCGCTGAATCCCTTCAGCTTTTAGAACTGTGAGTGGAACAACACAGGAACTTTGCATATATGGGACCCTTCCCCTTTCAATTGCTCTTAATATTTAAATAATAATAATAATTGTGATTTAACCACTTGATTTTTGTTGAATGAAGGGCTTAAAAAAAGGTTCAAATTCAACAGGTGCGCAGAATAGGATGCACTGCATCCCTGAGCTTTATAAAGGCTTTCAGAAATGAAAGTTGATCCATCCCTTACATCAGCAGTAGGGGATGATGGCCCTTTTATGACTCATGTACTTCAACTCCCAGAATTCCTGAGCCACCAGGAATTCTGTGAGTTGAAGTCCACAAGTCATAAAAGGGCCATCATTCCCCTCCCCTTGCCTCATGGTAGCAGGCTGCTTGTTAGTTAGGAGAAAACTAAAGCACCAACAACATTAGCAAAAGAGGGCGAGACATTTAGTCAGCCATCTGTTATCAGGCCTTTCCTTGTTCACAACAAGGCATGAGCTGTTAACAACCCCAATGCCTCCTCCAGGCCACAAAGCAGGGTAGTATTTACTTACGATGGCTTCCAATCTTCCCTGCACGTCATGTGATTTGATGACCCAGTTGACAGACTTTCTGCACTTGAGAATAAGTACAAGATCCCTGACAAGTGTGGTGTCTGGCTGAGATGGTCTGATGTCAATGATGATATCCACCTGGAAAGCACTGGATATGGAAAAGCAAAGCAGAGTCAGCCAGCACGCCAGAAAATTTCTGCTCTCAACCTTCTTCCAATCCATCATGTTCCCAGTGTCTGGCCAGTAGATTAAAACACTGGAGGTTATCCCAGACGTCCAAGCATGTGCAAAACAGACTGTTCCGCCACACTTGCTAGAACAATTTTAAATAACAATGGAAACAGCATACTTCTTTACGCTAATAACGCTGCTCAAAAGCTTGTCTTTCCCATTTAAAGAGTGCACATTTTCTCTGCTTTGGTGTTGGTTCAAGAAAACCACTTAGAGCTGGCTTTTCACATCTGCACAAAAGAGTTATCTCCGTTTGCATCAGGAGTTTTAAATGCAGATTTTTATACCTCCGTTCCCTCTGGTACGAAGCAAAAGTCCCTTTGCTGTCTCTTCAAACCAGAGTTTGGCAAACAGCAAAATAGACTGAGGAGTTCCATCTGCTTGCTGGATTTTAGAAGCAACTTCTACCTACGCAGAATTACTGAAGTAAAGCTTCGTAGCTTTACTTCATATTTTAAACGACACAGAGATACGCTAGCTTTGTTGTCAAAGATATTGTTGCCTGTTTTAAATCAATAGCCAATTTCATGCTCTCCAACTCCCAACTGTGAACCCTATTCCCTCTTCTCAACCCCTTTACGTTATATTATGCCCCTTTAACTCATGGACTACTATACTCTGTCTCCTTATGCCAGCCCCATAAAACTATTCAAGTCTTGGTGGACAATTTTCTTAACAAAAATGCATATGTGGTCTCTGTATTACCTTCTCCCACGATGTTTAATCAACTTTCTAGTTTAATTTTCCCCATTTCCCAGTCGTTTCCCACTTAGTAGGAATCATGTCCTGAGTTTTTCTGAGTTCAGAATTAAACAGATTCCTGTCAGGCCCAGGTGAAGGTCCAATTTAGTGCTGATTTAGTGCTACTCATGTCTTTGCACGGGAATATTCTCAACTAATAGCATCTGCTTGGAGTCAGATAAGGGGCAACAGAATTCAAGGGGGGGGGGTTGGTCCCCTTATGTTCCCTTATGTGTAGGGAGTCTAGGTTGATCCCTCCTTTAACTCTGTCCTCAGGTTCTGCCATTCCTTTCCCTACAATATCAACCTTATTGTCACCTCCTATGACAGTTTCTTATAATGAAAAGATAGTGCCCAACATACAATCCTAACCATCATAGAATTTGGAAGCAAAGAGGACTTCAAACAATTTTTAAGCTTATGTCCAATTATTGTGTGCTACATGATGTTTAAGCCAGACCTCCAATCCGCTGAATTCTGTGCTTATTATAACTTGGCATCGAAACCATCATTTAAAGAGAAAATATCACATCTAATTTGATTTGCTTCATTAGATTTGTCCCTTGTTTGAAATGTTAGGTCGAAGAGGTTGAATTTATGACTTTAAAACATCAATATATCAGTTCTAATTATAAAGTGGTTGGTTTTATCCCGATTCCCTTTTACGAATTTGTATCAAATGTCTACAAAATCTAGTCTCAACTTGAATATTTTGTTCTTTTTATACTTTTTATACTTCTTTTACAATATGAGGCTTGGTGCCTTTAAAACTGCTATAGAGCTGAAAATCAGTTCCTTCCCACTCTGGAGAAATATAATTTGATTTAAAACTATTACCTGTTTGAATCAGGTGCAATAAGTTCAATTATATGAACTTCTCTATCATGTGCCACACTAGAGACAATGCATCCCTCTGCTGTCTTTGGTTGTAGGTATCCGGCAAGGTAGTTCAAAGAAATAAAGTTCTTTTCTATATTGCATGTTGTAGGAAAAAATTGAACTAAAAAAAAGAGAAAAAGATAAATTATTTCAGACATTGGTTTTAATTACCTGAGATTATCAAATGCAATTAAATAGATTACATTTGCAGTGATGCCAAGCCACTAGAAACTTAATAAAATAGGAAAAGTACATTCATTCTTTTAATCTAAATTATTCTGGAAGTTTTTCTGTTTTGAATAATTTCTTCAAATTTCTGCCTTCTTTAGTTCTCTCTCTCGTCAGTCAAGATATTCGGAACATCATGGATTTCCAAGACATTGCACCCACAATGTTTTAATGACAATCAGCACTAGAAACACTATTTAAAACAAAACAAAACTAAATACGATATTCTTTTGTGTTCAGAACTGTATTTTTCCTTTTTCTATGTTTTTTTACAAATTTAATCAACTTTAAGTCATACCAAAATGTGGTAATTTATACCACTACCTGACATTCAAGAAATCTCATGTGCTGAAGGTCAAAAATTTCCTTCCATTTTCTATTTGATTTTATTTGTTCAAGTCTAAGAAAAGCTTCTAAAACTCACATAGTAAGTACAGAGTTAAGAGGCCTGGAGAGCAATCTGATTTTTAGCATTTTTCCATCTCTGCAGTTCATATTATTCAAGCCTTTTCTTATGCTTATAGTACATTTTTGTTAACGGAGTTATAATTCAACAATTAATGTGCCGATCCGAAGTTCTTAGATTACAGAATTCATAATCAAGGGTAAAGAATAGCAAAGCTCAATCTAGCTTAAATATGCACATCAGGTATCAGAGTAATGGATACAATTTCTCACACCATTTCAAATCTCGAGCAAAGCTTTGGTGCCAAAGAATGGTTAAAGACTGAGAAATCTTTAATGAAAAACAAGTTTCCATATTCACCATTGTTTCCAAATTTGCTTTAACTCAGGCTTACAATCACAGAGCGAGTGCCATATTTTTGTAATAGTTACACATAATGCACACATAGGATGACTTATCTCAGATGCACAACTTTTGACCTTTCAGCATCACCACTGCTACCTATGGAACACTTTCTTCGAAAACGAGAACTCCACTTCACAAGTTATTTATAACAACACACGTGCAAAAACACAACAGACAAATATCCCCAAATGCAATCCCACACAAAGAATACATGCAAAGATTGTATTCACTGTTCAATGTTCGAAGGACAAAGCAACCCTAGATTTATAATCTTGGAACTATATATTCATTTTCTGGTTATGAACTAGCTCTTGATCTGTGTAACAAATTAATTCATGTACTCAAGGTTTAATTATATGTTTAGAAATTAAGGTGACTGATTCCCTATATGGAAGATACGTTCTGGATGTTTTCTTTTTTTCTTTGCTTTCCTTTCTTGTTTACTTTTGTTATTTTTTATTATTACTTTTCTTTTCCCCCCCTTCTCCATTTTTGTATATTGTTGATTAAAACAAAACATGTCATGAATATCTCACTGTTCATTGGCTTTTAAAACAACTTCCAATACCAGTAGTCCTTGACTTACGACCGCAATTAAGCCCGGAATTTCTGCTGCTAAGCAAGATAGTTGTTGAGTGAATTTTGCCCCACTTTACGACCTTTCTTGCCACAGTTGTTAAGTGAATCACTGCATTTATTAAGTTAGTAACCCGGCTGTTAAGTGAATGTGGCTTCCCCATTGACTTTGCTTGTCAGGATGTCACAAAAGGTGATCACATGATCCCCCGGGACACTGCAACCGTCATAAATACAAGTCAGTTGCCAAAGGACTGAATTTTGATCAAGTGACCATGGGGATGCTGCAATGGTCCTAAGTGTGAAAAATGGTCGTAAGTCACTTTTTTCAGTGCTGTTGTAACTTTGAACGGTCACTAAACGAACTGTTGTAAATCGAGGACTACTTGTATTATAAAAGGGAGAGAGAAACCTAATCTCAATAGACTTCCCTCCACATCATATCTAATTAGGATCACTGCTTTATATCCTGCTTTGGAATCATTATGATTTTCATGAAAAGCAGATGGCGCTTTTTACAAAAAATAAATAGAAATGGGAACGGCAGTATCGTTTTCCTTTCCTTGTCCTTTTAAATAAACTAAATGCCACAAATGTTGTAAACTTTTCCTAGAGAGGAATTTCTCCAGCCTTTTGATTGCTTGGGTTGACTTTTTTTTTAATCCCGTCCTAATTTTCCAATATCCAACTTGAGATCTGGCAGCTCGAACTGTCTATGCGGTGATTCACATCTGATCCTACCAAAGACGGGTATGAAGGGATTGAGACTGGCAGTTTTATTTTTTATTTATTTTTTAAATCTTTTCCATCCTGACTCAGTTTTAGTGTCCCTTCGCCTTCCTCTCTGGAGGATCCTTCTGTGTCAGCCATGAGAAAGTAAATCTATTCGTGGAGCCCGACAGAGCACTCCCCAAACATCTGCTAAGTATCCTGCCAGATGGGATCTCAAAGCTGCAGAGATTCTGCCAACTCCTCCCATCCAGACCGTGGAAAGTGATCCTGAAGATGTCCAGCTTGCGCTCAGATTAATGTAGTCAAAAGGGCACACGTGCAAAATTGATGCTCGGTACGAGTAATGCAAGTTCTTTAAATGGGCAGGTGGCTTTCCAACCAGTTCTCTGAGAGTTATCACCACGCGTTTCAATGTGAAACACTATAGGAGATTTTGTATTTTCAACTGTGTGTTTCTGGAGCGTCCTCATGTTTCAGTCATCGGCACCAGCAGATAAATAAGTCAAAAATGGGACAGCTGCTTTCATCGTGTGGGTATCACCTTAAATCATATGCTGTTTGGATGAATTCAGCTACAGGGGACAATCATAGTGCAATAGTAAATTACCAACACTGGAGGTAAAGGACAGGAGTCCTTTGAGCTGAACTAGACTTCTGGTCTATGTGGACATACCCAGGTAGATTTCATGGCAACAAAACCAAATTGCTTCGACATTATGCTCCCCCAAGGTGGTTTTGTGACTTCCCAGTCTTAGCCTTCCACCCAGAGATTCTCTGAGAGTTGTATAAGAGTTCATGAAGTTTGTCACATATCTTTGTTTTGTTTTGTTCTTCAGCTCTGCTAAGCTGGTTAGGTGAAACTCTGCTAAGCTGGTTATAGTGCTTGGCACTTAAAATAAAAGATACAGATGCTGCGTTTTGTTTTAGCCTTAGAGCACAATTTGCTGTTGGGCGTGGCATTGCAATAGCACTAGCAAAGAGCACTTAAGACTTATATACTGCATCATAGAGCTTTGCGGCCCTCTCAAACTCCGTCAGGATCGAACTCCAGGTTGTAGGCAGAGTTAGCCTGCAATACTACATTCTAACCACTGCGGCATCATCTTGAGTACAGGTAGTCCTCGACTTACAACAGTTCCTTTTGCGACCATTCGAAGTTACAACAGCACAGAAAAAAAGCGACTTACGACCGTCTTTCACGCTTGTGACCAGTGCGGCATCCCCTCGTGGTCACGTAATCAAAATTTAGAAGCTTGACGAATGACTCATATACATGACATCTGCAGTGTCCCGGGATCACGTGATCACTTTTCCAACCTTCTGACAATGGGGAAGCTAGATTCACTTAACAACCGTGTTACTAACTTAACAACTGCAGCGATTCACTTAACCACTGTGGCAAGAGAGGTTGCAAAATGGGCAAAACTCACTTAACAAATGTCTCACTTAACAACAGAAATTTTGGGCTCAATTGTGGGTCGTATCTCAAAGGCTACCTTTGCTTTCGGAGTCTGAGATTGGGTAGTTGTTTTGTCCCTTGTGTATGGCTTGCTTTTCCAGAGTGTATGGCCCCCCCACAACCAGTTACATCCTTGATGCTACTGAATTAGGTTGGGGCAGTTGATGGAGGAATGGAAAGCATTGAATAGAGATTATGCAAGTTTGTCTACTAACAGAACTTGTAAATTAGAGATTTTTTAAAAAACAACAACAACAACACTATTACTATGGAGAAATTAATGTGCATATGAGTGGGTGGGCTTTATGTTTGCTATGTTTTATTTTGCAGGTAGTTAGTGGAAAAGTGGGTGAGTGGGTGGCTGGGTATGTGCACCACACTGTTCTGGTGTCTTATTACTTTAATGTTATCTGTGTAGTTAGGAAGCACCAGCCGCCTTTTGTATATGTGTCTGTCTGTATCTGCTTTCAGCAGTTACTCCTATGTGCAAGCAAAAACCTCAGCAAAAGATAGCTTCAACTGCTATTTTTAGTAATAAGGCCCTAGTTCAACTTATTCATTTTTCTCTATCTAATTCTCAATTAAAAAGAGTGTTTGTCGGTAGTCCAGCTTAGGGTGAGAGGAGACACAGTTTTCATTTCATATCTACATCTACTGCATATGATATAATTGGGCTGATAAGCTACTCCAACTGAAAAAAATACCCCAAGTAATGTAAAGCCCCCTTTACAGGAAGCAGTAAACAAGACAATGAATAATGACAGCCATCTCCCCTTCGTCAACTGCTGGTGGCACTTCCTCTGTTTAACCATCCACTAAGGCCCTCCAGGGTAACCCAGGTCCTGACAGCTTTCTGAAACACTACCAGGGTTTCAGTCAATCTCATCTATGTAGATAACTTCTTCCAGAGGAAAGAGGGAGAAGGCTCACCACCAGGTCCCTGATGACAACACTTCCTTGGGGTTGGGACACATAGTAAGCTGCCTCTTCTACATCTTACCAGATAAGCAGATACCACTAGAAGGAGGAGTCTGATACATACTGAGTTCCTAAGACACAAAGGCTATAAAAGTAATGACCAACATATTGAACTGTAACCAGAAGCCTACTTGGCAACCTGTGCAGCTTTCATTGTACCACGATAGAACAGACAAATTAGACTTAAACTATTACTAATCAGGCTACTGCATTCTAGTATGATATTCAAGGTAGCATGAGTTGCAAACCTGAAATGACAACAAAGGGTGATTATTTACAAAGCTTCCTGATTCAGGAATAGCTAATTTGGTGCATCAGATGGAGCTATACAAATGATTTTAATTTGCTCTTCCTGCCGAAGTTGTGAATCCAGGGAGTATAAAACAAATATTATAGCTGCTGTTTTGCTATAATGCTCGTGCAAATGAAAAGTTGTGAAAGCCGTGTATATTCTGAAGTATATGTCTGTAAATTTGATATAAAAGAGATGGCTTGTCAAGAATTCAGTGATTATTGTCAGTGGAGAAGAAAAGTTTGGAATCTGGGTAGATGCTAATAGCAGATAAATGGCATGGCTCAGAATAAGACTGCATTCTACAATCTTACAAGATCTTTTTGTCATCGGGGAACGTTAGATGCTCTATACAAGGTTCTCAGGGAATATATACTTATTTACCTGCTGGTCACTATTTTATTAATGAATTTAGATTTATTTATTTACTACTATTACTATGAACTAGTAGATATTATAGCAGTAGTTGTTTTTTTGTGCTATATGTCTAGCCCTGTTGTGCATGGATACAGTAGTCCTTAGGCCACAGTTGTTCCCAGGCAGGTAGTAAGGATCTCTATAGCAACTTTATAGCAATGCTGAATTCATGGAAAAACAATTCCTCAACAGATAAACTAATGGGGACAACATATTAATTTCTGATATTTTTTTATAAATTTTTCCAATGTCTTATACACAACGATTATTCTTCCACTACATAAAGGATGAAAATTACTGTTCAGTTGTTGGTCTTCAGCTTTTGTATATCTTATTTTTCCTTTACAAGAAAATCAGTGCCAACAACCTTCACCTGTCCTCTACTTCATTATGCCACTCACATAAACATTGCCAGCAAATGAACAATAACAGCAAAACATCGGTTTGGGATATGTGGTTGCCTGGAGCAACAATTGCTAAGAAAAGGGCTGATTCCAGGAAAAGAAAAGAACAACTGACAAATAACTCTTACCTCCTTTGGATGTTGCCAACTTTTTGATCTGAACTGAAAAAGTGTGTCCTGGATCTTATTATTTATGTGTGAGTGTGTGTCAACAACTTTGCTTACAAATGGGGAAAGCAATATCATGCTTTTTTATTAATTAGGTGTTATCTTGATATTCCTATCCAACATGACCNATATTAAAACAGACAAACAAAATACATCAAAGAACAAAAAACCCCCATAAAACCAAATTAAAAGCCAAATATTCGAAGCTGTGTGTCAATTAAAATTTTCTTAAAATCATCCCTACCTAAAATCCTCCCTAGGTCAGGTCCGCTTGCTGGAAAAGCCATGTCTTGAGGGCGCGGCGGAAAGTAAGGAGATCCGGAATCACCCGGATCTGGGGGGGTAGTCAGTGCATCATATAGCATTCCAGTAAAAAACAGGTTTTATGCCAGTTTGGTCTGGGGGTTCAGGCACCAGGCTAGTAACCAGGAGATGGTGAGCTCTAGTCCTGCCCTAGGCACTCTCAGCTCAATCCACCTCACAGGATGATTGTTGTGGGGAAATATGAGGAGGAAAAAATTAAGTTATGTTTACTGCCTTGAGTTATTTATAAAACTAATAAAGGTGGGATAAAAATGAATAAAATATTACTAACATGTAAAACTTTAAATTCGTCAGAAAACCTTTCTGATCAGCACCCAGTTATTCAAACATTAGTTTGACAAGCACCAGGATTAGAGACAAATTGTCAGAGTGTGGCAAGCCTTATTTTACAGCCCTCCTTCTTTTAACCTCTTATCTCTCAATTGCTACTTCTGGGGGGTATCAAATGAAACCCTTTGAAAGTCAAAATTCACCCAGATGTCCCCAGCTAACATTCTGTTTAACTTGATCCTTTTTAATACACTGCTTTCCCCCTGTGGCAATGACAAGGGTACAAAGGAAACAACTTTTGGTGTGATTTTCTTATCTCAGGGGAGCCAAGGAATGTCCCTCGGGTAAAATTGGAGACAAACATTAATTAAACCCCATTTCTTATTAACAGTCATATAAGCTTCAACGGACTTACCTTCACCCACTTTTATGTAAACATTCCTGGATATTTTAAATTCAGTGAAGGACGTTACTGCTCCATATTCCTTTTCAGCCCACTCTAACAGATGCTTATTTCCTTGAGGAAGGGGTTTCTCTTCTCTCTTTGCTGTCAAGGAGAAGTCTTCCTTCACAAACTGCACCGTGGAGCCTGCTGAAACCTGAGGAAATTGGAAGCCATATTTAAGGTGGCAGTCACCCGCTACCAAACAATTGTCTCTTCAAAAACGTACCAACTGTAAAATCATGACATTAAAACAGTGTCACTGTCTCCACTACCTGCTAAATCAGCGGTTCTCAACCTATGGGTCGTGACCCCATTTGGGGTCGATCGACCATTTCACGGGGGTCGCCAAGCAAGGCTGTCCACCATTTTTCCCCCTTTTCCGGCGGATGCCTTACCTCCCTTGAGCTGGGCCAGCTGGTGGTCGGCCTGCTCCGTCTCTGCCACTTGCCAGCTACACCTCGGCCGGCGCAGGGGGCGGAACCACCCATGTGCGGTGCTCCCGGGCAGGGAAAGTCCTCGACTTGCGACCGGTTTAGTCCTCAACTTACGACCGGTTTAGTCCTCGACTTACGACCGGTTGGGGGTCACGGCATTAAAAAGGTTGAGAACCACTGTGCTAAATAAACTATATTCAAACACTTGGACAACCAAAGTCACTTTAAATAGAATATCGCACCAAAAGCATGGATTTCAATTCTTCTCAGTTAGCTATCAATGAAAGATTCAGTGTGGATAAGAAGGTATTTTACCTTCTAGAAAGAAAACATAGAAAACACACATAAGAATTTGAAAGATGGCCCCAAACGCTAGATATTTCGTAACAAGATCTTTTGCATTGTATCCCAATAAATAGCAAAAAAACAAGCCTTACATAATTAAGAAAATAATAACAAAAAAGCTGATTCTTTTGGGGGATACCTGTAACTCTAAAGAAAAACAGCCTATGACGGCCTTCTTCAAGCTGTCACTCCCCAGTTGTGGTAGGACACCTCTCAGAACCCCAATAAACAATACCTGAAAATGTTAGGTCCTGTAATTCCAGCATAACCTGATTCACACAAAGCAGTCTAATAAAGATTAGGGGAACCCTTGTTAATGGGAGATTCCATTGTTCATTGAACCTCCATATTATATTGCATATGAAGACGAATGCTGATTTAATACTGGACTCCTGTTCGCTACACAAGAAAACAGAACATGGTTTTTTTTTCTGTTTCATTTGGTGAATGGATAAAATTCACTCAGATATACATGTAATAATTGTATTGCATGAAATTATGGGCTTATTAATGATATGCCATTATTCACCATTTTTTTATATTCCTGTCTTTCTTCCTTTTAAATATATAATTTTATTAAAATTATCATAACATAAAATGCAAACGAAAACAAGATAATAGAGTAGTGGGGGGAACAGAAAAGAAGGGGAAAGAGATGTGTGGGGTCAGGGGAAAAAAAGAAGGGAAAAAAAGCATTAAGTTCCAACTTTTTCCAGCTCAGTAGAATAAAAATAATCAAACATAGCCTCGTTTTTTTTTACTTTTACATGCTTAATATATACTAGCCATTTCCATAATAACAAGCATATCTAACCAGAAATCCCATTTTATTTATTTTTTCTTCCCTGATCACAAAGCCTAGAAGCAGTTACTGAGTAGAAACAAAACTGGATATATGCTTTGCTTTAATTAAACTAGTCAATTTGGCCATCTTTCTATATTGTATTTAAGATATTGTTCCACTGCTTCATTGTCATTTATGACCTCCAAGTTCACAAGAAGTTCTAAAGCAACTGAAACATTCAAGTCCGACTCTCGGAAACAGCATTAGAGGATATGAAGTCAACCAACACAGGAAGCTGCCTTACACTGAATTAGAGGANATAAATTATAGCACGACAATTAGAATTAAGACAGAAGCCTAACATTCACATCACATTTTCAATACTCTAGATATGGATTGCTTAAGGCTAGAAAAATCAGACACAAAAGTTGGCCGTCTCAATTGCTATAAACTGGAATCTCAAAAGATGGCAGTCAGAACCCTTTATGTTGCTTTCTGATGTCCTGATTATAACTGTAACCCATGCTTGCAATGTAAATAGCCAAAAGATCTATTAAAAATACTGGTAATATAAATGGCAGGGGACTGGATTTATTAGATTCCAGTTTAAGTGCACAAAATTAGAGCATCCATCCCTCCATGTTAGCATCCCAAAATGAATTGAGTTCTTTACTTCCAAGGAAAATAGTGAGCAATAAAATATTGTGTCATATTTCGGTATTTCCCTGCACTGCCAAAGAGCAAATTATTTTGAGATGTAATCAGTGCATCATATAGCATTCCAGTAAAAAACAGGTTTTATGCCAGTTTGGTCTGGGGGTTCAGGCACCAGGCTAGTAACCAGGAGATGGTGAGCTCTAGTCCTGCCCTAGGCACTCTCAGCTCAATCCACCTCACAGGATGATTGTTGTGGGGAAAATATGAGGAAAAAACATTAAGTTATGTTTACTGCCTTGAGTTATTTATAAAACTAATAAAGGTGGGATAAAAATGAATAAAATATTACTAACATGTAAAACTTTAAATTACAGTCAGAAAACCTTTCTGATCAGCACCCAGTTATTCAAACATTAGTTTGACAAGCACCAGGATTAGAGACAAATTGTCAGAGTGTGTTACAGCCCTCCTTCTTTTAACCTCTTATCTCTCAATTGCTACTTCTGGGGGGGTATCAAATGACACCCTTTGAAAGTCAAAATTCACCCAGATGTCCCCAGCTAACATTCTGTGTAACTTGACCCTTTTTAATATACTGCTTTCCCCCTGTGGCAATGACAAGGGTACAAAGGAAACAACTTTTGGAGTGATTTTCTTATCTCAGGGGAGCCAAGGAATGTCCCTCGGGTAAAATTGAAGACAAACATTAATTAAACCCCATTTCTTATTAGCAGTCATATAAGCTTCAACGGACTTACCTTCACCCACTTTTATGTAAACATTCCTGGATATTTTAAATTCAGTGAAGGACGTTACTGCTCCATATTCCTTTTCAGCCCACTCTAACAGATGCTTATTTCCTTGAGGAAGGGGTTTCTCTTCTCTCTTTGCTGTCAAGGAGAAGTCTTCCTTCACAAACTGCACCGTGGAGCCTGCTGAAACCTGAGGAGATTGGAAGCCATATTTAAGGTGGCAGTCACCTGCTACCAAACAATTGTCTCTTCAAAAATGTACCAACTGTAAAATCATGACATTAAAACGGTGTCACTGTCTCCACTACCTGCTAAATCAGCGGTTCTCAACCTATGGGTCGTGACCCCATTTGGGGTCGATCGACCATTTCACGGGGGTCGCCAAGCAAGGCTGTCCGCCATTTTTTTCCCCTTTTCCGGCGGGTGCCTTACCTCCCTTGAGCTGGGCCAGCTGGTGGTTGGCCTGCTCCGTCTCTGCCGCTTGCCAGCTATGCCTTGGCCGGCGCAGGGGGCGGAACCACGCATGCGCGGCGCTCCCGGGCAGGGAAAGTCCTCGACTTAAGACCGGTTGGGTAGTCCTCGACTTACGACCAGTTTAGTCCTCGACTTACGACCGGTTTAGTCCTCGACTTACAACCAGTTTAGTCCTCGACTTACGACCGGTTGGGGGTCGCGGCATTAAAAAGGTTGAGAACCACTGTGCTAAATAAACTATATTGCAAACACTTGGACAACCAAAGTCACTTTAAATAGAATATCGCACCAAAAGCATGGATTTCAATTCTTCTCAGTTAGCTATCAATAAAAGATTCAGTGTGGATAAGAAGGTATTTTACCTTCTAGATTAGAAAGAAAACATAGAAAACACGCATAAGAATTTGAAAGATGGTCCCAAACGCTAGATATTTCTTAACAAGATCTTTTGCATTGTATCCCAATAAACAGCAAAAAAACAAGCCTTACATAATTAAGAAAATAATAACAAAAAAGCTGATTCTTTTGGGGGATACCTGTAACTCTGCTTTAAAGAAAAACAGCCTATGACGGCCTTCTTCAAGCTGTCACTCCCCAGTTGTGGTAGGACACCTCTCAGAACCCCAATAAACAATAGCTGAAAATGTTAGGTCCTGTAATTCCAGCATAACCTGATTCACACAAAGCAGTCTAATAAAGATTAGGGGAACCCTTGTTAATGGGAGATTCCATTGTTCATTGAACCTCCATATTATATTGCGTATGAAGACGAATGCTGATTTAATACTGGGCTCCTGTTCGCTACACAAGAAAACAGAACATGTTTTTTTTTTTGTTTCATTTGGTGAATGGATAAAATTCACTCAGATATACATGTAATAATTGTATTGCATGAAATTATGGGCTTATTAATGATATGCCATTATTCACCATTTTTCTATATTCCCGTCTTTCTTCCTTTTAAATATATAATTTTATTAAAATTATCATAACATAAAATACAAACGAAAACAAGATAATAGAGTAGTGGGGGGAACTGAAAAGAAGGGGAAAGAGAAGTGTGGGGTCAGGGGAAAAAAAGAAGGGAAAAAAAGCATTAAGTTCCAACTTTTTCCAGCTCAGTAGAATAAAAATAATCAAACATAGCCTCGTTTTTTTTTACTTTTACATGCTTAATATATACTAGCCATTTCCATAATAACAAGCATATCTAACCAGAAATCCCATTTTATTTATTTTTTCCTCCCTGAGCACAAAGCCTAGAAGCAGTTACTGAGTAGAAACAAAACTGGATATATGCTTTTCTTTAATTAAACTAGTCAATTTGGCCATCTTTCTATATTGTATTTAAGATATTGTTCCACTGCTTCATTGTCATTTATGACCTCCAAGTTCACAAGAAGTTCTAAAGCAACTGAAACATTCAAGTCCGACTCTCGGAAACAGCATTAGAGGATATGAAGTCAACCAACACAGGAAGCTGCCTTACACTGAATTAGAGGA